CCGGTTGGATAATTTCAAATGTTCAAAAGGTTGGAAAATGGCTATTTATGACCTTATCTTGAGCTGAATCTATGAACAGTGCAATTTTACTTAAACGACTGGTGTCAATTCTCATGAAAGGGTCAATAAATGTAACAAAACGAAGTGTTAATTAAGATTAAATGATTAACTTTCCTTTTTGGCTTCCGTGCAGTTGGTGTGATATATTGGGTCCAATAAATATGTTATTTTTACGCCCAAAATTCGCATGATTATATGATATCCAAAGAAATGCTATTTTCTGAGACACATAAATACATCTTATCATTATTTTTGTAGTCATTCAATAGCCAAGGTCGTGTTTTGTCATTTGAAGTTGTTTCGCCCGCCCACCTTATCATTCTTGAGAAAAGGACCTAAATAGCAGGATAAGTATATTTAATTATATAAAATTGTCCTTTAATGTGAGTGCCTTCATCTTTTTGTGCATTTCATCAAAGTCTTTGCTTAGATTTTTTCTTGAAAACTTTTGAGAATTGCTGTAGTTGAAACTAATAAGGTAGTGGCATTCGAAAATCTTTCCGACGTTGCCCTAATTCTGAAACTTTATGACAAAACTGTTTCGAAAATTTAGAGAAATTTCTCGGCAATTTCAGAGTTCTTGTAGTTATCAATGTTTCAATAAATCCACGAAACCTTGATTAGCGTCACTGGAGTTTTTCATTCCTTTTCAGCCCGCCATATTTCTTTTGCCGTCCAGAATTTAATTAAGAAACATACAATATATCACCCTCTTGCAACTTATTGATTTTTGTTATTGTGCCACAGGGCCGCTGTGACAAAATATTGGAAACTTTATTAGCACATTTTCCTTAAAGCTAGGATTTAGACCATGGAGGCCACGAATTGATGGTAAAAGTAAAGTGCTTTGAATTTTCAGAGTTCCTCATTACAGCAACCTTTCTATTATATTTCCAATACAAAGTGTCGCTTTTCTGAGGTAAATTAGGGGCAGTTACCCCTTTTACCGCCACGGGACAGAGACAGGGAATTCGATGCTTAAACAGGTTAAAACAGTTTTTAACCTGCAATATCAACTCATCTTTCTTGTTTTCAATGATTTTCTTAGTGTGGTCATGTAATTTCAAAGTTTGGTCGTTGAGTTTCAAAAGCTTGGTCAATATTTTAAATTCAAAGAATTCAATGGATCACAATGGAACCAATCTACGTTTAAAACTCTGCCTACTGTCAAATCTGATTTGCCCTTAAGCCGAGTTTCTGTTAGGTCCCAAAACTAGCTTATTTTTCAACGCGGTCAAATGGAGTCAATCTGCTCTCGTCCGCAAAATTTAGGTGGTTTTCGAAGTTTCTTCGAAATAGTTACTGCACCCCTTGCTGGGCGTTTTACGTTAGAGTCAAAGGAAGTACTGCTTGTTATTCTTCATAGTAACTTTTCGTTGGCTTGTTTCATTGAAAAGGCGATAAAATTTTAAACCTCTTTTATGTTCTTGGCTAATTTAGATGTAAGAAAAGCAGACAATCCGTTTACACGCAAGGATACAACAAGGCCAGTTTGCCTTATGGCGTTTTATAAATCTTACTTGTTTGTTAAGCTATTCAAATCTCAGTGACAAAGAAACCCGTTGCTGGAGGGTGAAAAGCCTGTTGCGAGCTCCTTTTTTATTTCATAAACAGAATATTATTTAGTTTTAAAGACAACGGGTCAGAATTACTATGGCAGCAGATATGAATGCCCAGCTTTTATAAGAAGAAATACTAATGAGAAACTCGAGTCGATTCATTCAGAAAATTAAAAAACACTGGTCAACAACTTTTTTGAAAGCAGTCTCCTATGATGATTGCATTTGAGTGACCTCAAATGGATTTTGGTCTCGTGTGAACCGAGCCTGAAATTAAGAAACACGCTTTTTGGTACTGGAACATTCTTTTTTCCGATATGTTTCAACGGTTGCACAATAGAAGCGGCTGGCTTACCCCTCCCCCCAAGTATTGTCAAAATATGATCCCAAATTTGTCTAAAAATTGTTAAAAATTTATTGCTTAGGAAAAAAAATTTTCCTCGTGAAAAAAGTACGTCTAACTGCATGATGGAAAATTCTGTATAGTATGTGAACGGGTGTTACCTTGGCTCCCTTTGGACCCTTCTACCCCCAACCCCCTCACTCAGCGGAGGATCGCGCCGTCAAGCGTCACTGTGTGGTTTTCAGTAAACTGTTAACAAATAATCCCCATTTAATAAAGGATCGATTAGTGAGAATTATTTTGTAAGGTAAATTGTTTGTAATGCTCTTCTTCTCATATCAAATTCCTCCCAAAAGAGTGAAGATTTGACAGCTGTTCGGTCTTTGGTAAACTGCGTTGGCTTATTTATTGTAAATGCGTGGGAACAGCCGTCCACGACTATTTCGTGTCTTTCATCTAGCTTGATCTGTTGTTCTGATTCGCTGTTCAGCAGGACAACGCATATGGATTCTTAACCTTTGGGGTTGCCAGCACCGAGGGGCGATTCACTCTTGCAAATAGCGTACGAGATTTTCCCTAAAACAAAAGGATTTCTGGTGATTCGAGATAAAACAATAGGATTTACACCAAAGGTGTACGAGATTTTTCGGAGTGATTTGCCCCTCGGCCAACACCGTGGGTTCTAAACCCTTGACTCTCTTGAAAACTCTGGAGTCTTGTGCTCAGGCTTTCCCAGCCCCCCTCTGCCTCCCCGATATCTTATTGTAATAATAGTAATAATAATAATAATAAAGAGATCCTAATTCTCCATTCCAGTGCAGTTACATTTTCTTTAATTTTTGTAGCAATGAATCAATTCTAGTGAATTAATTTCTTTGAGTCATTTTGGAAGTAATTTTCAAATTTTCAACTGAATATGGGTCTTGCCCGAGGTCTGTAGCTTCATTGAAATACAAATGCCCGAATGGAACCTGAAATGCGATGAATGATGCCCGAATAAGAGCTGCGGCCCTCCCAACCCTTATATCGCTAACACCTGGAATACGTTCACAGGTCATTTTTCACGAACACGCTCTCCAATCTCCTGTCGCGACCCGGCGAGTACTGTTGCATTTAATTTTCAATTTCCCAGATTTTTTCTCACAAAAAGACACGGGATATATTCGGTGATTATCCATTAGACAAAAGGCACCTTGCCCTCATTTCATTACCCTATGATCCTTTGAAAATGTGCTTTTTATGAACGAAGGATGATTGTTGGTGGCTGGTCACCTTCTCTTAGTTTCTACACAAAGCCTCCTTACTATTTTACTCGATGCTGTAATCCGCAGTTTAGGTGCCGAATTGAACAAGAATGTTGGACCGTGTTGTTTCTACACATCCACATGCAAACGCGTGTTCACAACTGTTTTCGTATAGCGTTGCAGCAACAACAAGTTCCCGGGGGTACAAAATTTATTTTCTACGAGGAGATAACCCCATCTTGGGAATCATCAAGTCAAGGGGATAACCTGACGAGCTTCACTTTTTATCAGTTTTTGAGCCAAGAATTTTTAAGTTTTTTGACGACAAACTGAAAAGAAAGGCGCCCAAATCAGGAGATCTTTGATATCTCAAATTCTATCCATTTAGAAGGAACCGCTTGTATTCTTTTTATTTACATTAGGGACCATTCACAAAGGACGTCCATGCTGAAGGGGGAGAGGGGGTTTGGTGAATCCAGATAAATTCGGGCATAAGGGGAGAGCTTTGATCACCCTACGGGTGAGGACCAAATAGGTTTCAACTTGATACAGTGAATTGCTTGAAGGATAATTAAGAAAGCTGAGGCCCTCAGCCCCCTTTAAACCCACCCCCTTCGCCTTCTCCTCCGCAGTTCTTTGGATAGTTAATGTCAAGCAAACATGGTTTGCGAATATCTACAGATTTTCAAAGAGGTAGAGCGCTCCAATCAACTAGATTTCAGATGGTTTAGTAATTGAAAATTAGATGGTAAATAAACAAAGTTTCTTTTCGAAAAGTTTAGTTGTTCACCGCGAGAAATTTTGAAGAGCGAGATCGCTTAGTATTTATTTTTCATTCTGGGTATCGTTTTATATGGAAAATGCGTACTGCCTCTTTTTTAAATCGCATGACGACAGCGTATAGTTATATCGAAAGCACAGCGAAAGTAAATGCAGTACCTCAGTGTGGTCAAATGATAAAATGCGAGAGTTCCTTTTGTTTGCTTTCAAATAAAATTGAGAAAGGAAATAGTAAATATTGAGTTTCTTCCTCAGGTGTCACAAAGACAGACACAAAAACAGAAGTAAACAAGCAAAAGAAAACAGCACAAATCATTTTTGTGTTGTCCAAGGACCACGGAGCATGTTACTGATCGAGGGGGGGGGCTGAAATATATTGAGGGGGGCTCAACATACTAAACCATTAGCAGGGCAATTTTTGTTTGGTTTTAAGATGATTTTTTGTGATATTTTTGTCATCTACAGAATATAAAATAGCCAAATGAATCAGTCTTTGGGCAAACGTGCCTTCGAATCTATGAGATGAAAATACCAGGGACGATGAAATAATCGAGGACGGATTTAAGTGGCAAGGATAAGTGGCACATAAGTTTGAATTTTATCCCACCCCCACCCCCAAGGGGGTGGGATAAAATTCAAATTTATGTGCCACGTCCTTCAGGTCATTGGAAAATGATGGAAACGCCCATTTTTTAAATTAGGTCTTTAGCTTTTGGAGAAAGAAGAAAAAAGATTCATCAAGTAAAATATTGTCGTTTTTTATTACTACCGACCACCAAAAAATGTTTTTTTTACCGAATGGAAGCAAAATTTGCTGAAAGATACAAAAGTATTGGGGAATGTCGTACCCCCTACTCCCCCCGGTAAATCTGTCACTGGAAATAACTCATTTTTCTGAATATTTTACTTTAGTTTGTTTGTTTCTATGGATCAGGATTATGCTTAATTTTTTTAAGTCTGTTCTGAAAATAGTTGAGCAAAATTAGTTACTCATGATTTATGTTTTGATTTTAGGCCCATTTTAAATGGTAATCGTCGCATGAATTTAAGAATCACAGTGGAACGATGTAAAAGCAGGTTGTTAAATGGAGAAGTTGTGACAAACCAGAAACAAGATGCAGAAGAACCAAACGAACATCATGGGATAGAGATTTTCACAGATAGGAAATGTCAGGCAACTACAAACGGACGCTGTAAATTAAGAGCAGATGAGCAAGTCAATGTCGATTTGGTGTCATTTAGACCAAATGACAGCTGCAAATTTTCAGTGTTCGAAGAACCCCGCAATGAAAAAGTCAAGGCCGCAGATGAAAATTCATGTAAATGTAATGTATTGCAAACAGCTAAAAAAAATCACAAAGTCACTCCGGGTGTTAATGTGAGCCTGCGAACTGATTATCAGGAGGTAATTTACGGATCCGGACTTCACACAGCTAATGGCCCGGTTGGAAGCGAAGCCGATGGGTTTGATGGGGATGAAGTCATGGGAAGGGCTATCACTGACACCGCTTTCGCTAGTAATCCAGTTAGATTAAAGCAGAAATATGAAGATTCTACACCAGGTCTTTCATCTAATTGCGAATCTTTCTTACATGACAACAACAATAGTAAAAATCTGCATTGTGATACACAGTTGCCATTAAATGGGTTTGTTGCAAAGAAATTAAGAGGCAATGACATTTCATATAGAGAAACGGCCCCTACTACCAACTCCTTATCCCGAGAGACTTGTGATAGTGTTATCAACAGTAAAGTACCTAGAGAGCATCCTTGTTGTACATTCAAAAGCATTTGTAAAGATGCTGATCATTTTGATGATGTATCGATTCAGAGTAGAGTATGTAAAAATGATCCGAAGAAACAGAATTTATTTTTAATCGATATTGAAAAAGATGCAATTAAAGATGGCGATATGATAGACAATAAAGGCTGTACTATGACAACAGACAGTGTAGCAAAAAGTGATAATTTAGCAAAAGCCAATGACAGCGGCAATAAAGACGTGAATTCTGATTGCCTTTGCAAATGGGTGAATTGTAATGCAATGCTCAATGATGCAGTAGAGCTTAAAACTCACGTCAAAGAGATGCATGTAAAAACGATGGCTGCAAGTGACTTGTTCTTTTGTTTTTGGAAAGGATGTAAAGTTTATAACAAACCTAGCAGCTCTTACAATTGGCTTGTAAAACACGTCAACACACATGTAGGAATTAGGCCCTTTCAATGTGTTATAGAACCTTGCGATTTATCGTTTGCTTCTCACAGTGCCTTGGTGAGGCATGTGCAATCACACTTTAATGAGCGTTCAAAATATTATAAAAAGACAAAAAGCTTTTCAAAAGAAAGTTCCGTCAGCCCGTCTGCAAAGTGCAAAGAGGACGAAACAATGTCAAGTTCGGAATCGACGTCAAGCAAGGATTTGAGGAAAAGGAGGCTGAAATTCTTCATGAGGAGAACGAGGCCCGTGACAGCATGTGAGCATTTATTTTATTGAAGCTACTCATTATATTCTTGGTTTTAAGGTTTCTACCAGAATAGTTTTAACACAATTCTTTAGTGGTCTCGAGAAAATATTTGAGTAAAAATATGTATTCTTAAATGATTTCAAGAATATTTTGTAGGACATAGACTCTACATTGCAATTTCTCTATCTGGGAAGTTTTCTCAAACCCCTTAGTTTTACAATGACTTGAGAATCTTGTTGCAGAAAAATCCCAGATTAAAGAATACTTCAGATAACCCGGCTTTTCCAAGTTCTGTATTTTTTGAGTCAGTTAGCAATCTTTCCATGTTGGAGGAATGCTCCACCAAACCCGGATTCCTGTCAAATGTTAGTCGAAGACAACCATGGTAACTTCAGTTTCATTCTTATCTCGTACTAGCTATACCTTCGTTTCCATCTTTTCCTTCATGTGTGTTTATTATGTCGTTTAATCTCTTTCTTTTCCCTTTCGCTCTAGTCATGCATTTGTTAAAATGTATTCAATTGTGGGCGAAGACTTCATTGTTGTTGCTGTTGTTGTTGTTATGTTAAAAAGCAAAATTGTCTTTGTGCCAGCAGCAGGTTACGAAGGTTCTTTCTAGCAAGCTTCTTTCTTCGCTAGTTTAGGCCTCTTCAGTGTTGTCACTGGGTACCAGTTTGAAACTGGGTTGCCCGTTATACACACGGGTTAAACCAATAGCCAAACCAATAGCCAAACCCACAGTTGCAACCACTGTAGTCAACTGCCTTCTTATAAGCTCAAGTAAAACTTGTAGATTGAGTACGTGGAAATTTCTGGAAAATTAAATGTTTTTATTTCTCTAATGATTGTCAATTGATCTTAGATGATACCAACGACGGTTTTGATAGGGATTCAATGGATTATGTAAAGAAGAAACTGGTTAGCATCGATTCAAGTAGTTATCAAATCAACGGACAACACTGTAATGTAATCCAGGTATTGAATTGCTATTATTAAACGTTTATTTTTTATCTGAAAGTGTTGAACTTGGTTTTAAAACTCCCATAGATAGCCCACGAAATCAATTGAAAGTGGGTATTCATTATTTCTCTTGCTGCCATCTCTGTAAGTTGCGGGGGCCTGATAAACAAGCATGTTGAAAGCGTTTCAGGGGTCGGAGGCAGATACTTGCAATCTGTCCCTAATGGCTCCAGCAAAATTTTATTAAGCAGCTGAAGAAATAAAGCAGTATTTTTTTAATTAGACAGTTTATTCAAACCAATGTTGAACATCGCTCGTATTGAGCTTCTTGCAAGAATACCTCGATTAAATAGCCGAAAGGCATCAAACATTCGATTAAATGTGAAGTATAATCTGGTTTTCTTCTTTTTTAGCCCCTTGGCAGACGAACTTCAGATAAGGGGGAAGTCCAGTATTTGATGACAGTGGGTGCAGACAGAAAGTATGGTCCTGTTAATATATTATTTAAAATTTTAGCAGTGGCATGCTTCGATTTGTTAGATATTTTAGTTGGAATTTAAGTCATTAATAAGAATGCAATAAAGGACAGAAGGAAAATCAGTGACCTCTAGTGAAGCATCCTCAAAGCCATACTCTGTATCGAAGGCGTTTTTAACATGCAAAAGTTTTGAATTATCGTTAAACGGAATCAACAGCCCTCGTTTTTATCTTTGAGTAAACTATCGAAAGCCATTTGTCAACTGTTATGTTTAGGCGCAAACTCCTATTAATTTTGACGTACAATATTGAATGCATTTTTTAGACTTTCAAGATAACTGTCAAAAAAAAGGAACTAAACCCAATTTTTTAAAGTTCTTAATATTTCCGAAAACTAATTCGAATTTCAAATGACAAATCTTCCTCTCCATTCCTCGTAGCCTAGATGTCAGGCATCAACGAAAATTCATTTTTTCTTAGTTGATTAATCCATTTTATTGGCTGTTATGTTGGTTCTTTTTTTGTCACTGTCAGAATAATTGAAATCCATATACTCTTCGGTCTTTCGATTAGTTTCATAAGCCACATTGCATTTAAACTGACGTTTACTTCGGTTTTCATTCCACAGGCAACTGGAATGGCGGAATGAAAGAGATGTTCTCTTTGATGGGTCCTTGCAGTTTCCAGTTTCAAAATTACCAACGAAGCAACAGGAGCAGATGTACGAAGGAATATTTGGCACAAAGGTAAAGCGACATCGGAGGAAAGTAAAAAGGTTATCTATTAACTTATGATTATTGATTTTAATGCTGTTCAAATGTAAAAAAGCTTTAATTAAAGTTCGTATCTTGCAAGCATTTTAAATAAATTATTGTATTGCTGGCGTTATGCCTTAGGCTTTGTTAAAATTTGGAAATATGTATGTTTCATCGATTAAAATGGATCCAAAATATAGGCCTTGTTGTTCATCGTGCATCAGTTTGTGACAAAATATTTGTCACCACCTCAAAACAAGTAGGTTTCACTATGATATCATCTCTCTCGGTAGCAGTAGTTCCAAGTTTGACGTCACACCCTACCCCAATATACGAAGTACCGCCTTTATACTGGGTTATATATTGTGTGAGAATGTTTCTGTCTCAGAGGGTAAGCTCGCTATTCCAGCGCCTGGTCCGCATTTTAGCGCGTAGTCCCTATTCATGAGTTAGGACACTAGGTCTAAGTTTCCTGTTGCTATAATTGCAGCTGTTTTGTTTATTATAATGATTGGAACGGGTTGGTTATTTTTGAATTAGAACCCAAAACACCAGTCAAAGTCTGTTTAGAGCACAAGAAAGTCTTTAACCTCCTAGGCCATTTGAATTCCTGTTAGTCTTCCGCAATTGTAAATTCATACGATATTAAATACTGTTAATATGAAACAGGCCCAAGATAGCCCAAGGCAAACTTCCGCTGGATCTCGAATTGCTTTCGACATGCCACTGCCTGCCAATCATATTTTAAACCAAATTTAATGGTGTTATAACCAAATTAGATCGTTTCATTTCTGTCTTGTGTTTTCTGCCGTAATCTATGGTTTCAAGTATTGGCTTCGAAAAATGATGGGTTTTCGTGTTTTTTGTTTCACAATTGTTCGTGAGTCACCATCAAAAGATGTTAAAAAGGAATATTCTTAATCCATTTAATAAATTTCACGGTTAAAGGCGAATTAAACGAAATGACAATAGTACCCTGAAGCGCTATGCCATTAGAAGAGCTGGCAGTTCTAAATGTTATCACCACAGAAGCATGTGTCTTATCAGGTCAGCAAAGAAATTAGCTGCGATCAAATTTAAGCTTGCCAACTAAGAAGATGTTCCCAAGTTCTTAAAGCAGTAGATTCTACTGTTTTCTATGTAGTCTAGCTCTTTTCAGCTTTGCGTCAATTTGAAAGGAAACATTTGAAAAGGTTTTTTGGTAACAAAAAAGCAGTGGCATGTCTACAGACGGGTTGTTTAGGGTTTGATGAGGCAATTTTCCCTTTTCCGCTTTTGTATGAGTCTTACAAAACTCTCCTTATCAAGCGGTGGTTTTTGAATAACTCTCACAAAATTATCAAGCTTTACATCTCAGTAACAGCAAGCGTGCTTTTTATAGAAACCATCAAAGCCAAAGTCCAAAAAAGGGCAGAACTCAGACGATTTTCTTAGGGTCTCACCCAATACGCTGTATTTCCCTACCCCATCATTTGAATTACATCACTGCTTTAGGGTTTCCTTCACCAAAAACCATTGGAATTCTCAATGGTTGTCACTCTGCTGGACAGGACACAACTCCAAGGACACAAACGCTGGAAGCTGTAGGATACATGCCATGTAACACTCAAAGTTTTTACAGATCACGAAAAAACCAAAATAATTTGAATTTATGTTATACTCATCAAATCAATTTCTGTCCATTTTATCCCTGAATGTCCTACGCAATTAGATTTCTCAAGTTTCGATTTCCTTTTTCTGTTTTCTTAAACTGCTATAAATCTGGTGTGAATTATAAACAAAGTCTGGTATAAATTGTTAATATGCAAAGCACCCTAGACATTTGTATATCTTGACTAATTGTTTTAACAATGCTTTATGCATTTGCTTTTGCAGAATTTTCGTTTCTGTGTATTTTTGTTGTTACTTCTATCCAAATGGGTAAGCTTTGACTACCAAAACTGCCATAAGACCTTTGTTGTGGCCCTTGGATCAATTGTTATTGGCATTATGCTCTGTCTGTCACATTATCTGAGAAGCATAATACTTTTGCCCCGTTATTCCTTTTTAGAGTATTCGTAGCCCCCTATTTTACCCTAAGTATGTTTTATTTTAAATGCAGCCTTTCAAATTTTCCCATTAAAAGACTTAATGTCTCTGCCGGAACTATCCCTTGGCCTAACAATCCTCAATGCACTTCTCAAATTTTTATGCTTGTTAGGCTTGCTAAATTCATCATCCTTAAGGCGAAGATTATTCGATTCCCATTACCTTTGGTTCTGCGAGTTTCCCTCATTTTCCCTTTGTGTGTAGACAGATTTTTACCATAATTTCCACAGCTAGGCCACATAAAACCAACTGCAAAATGGGATTTTCTTGTGTCCAGTGTTTTCAGTTTATCTAGGAAAGGTTATAACAAAGTATTTATGGCTGTCGTCTATGTTTGGACTTAAGTCCACAAAAATATTGTAAATATGATCGTTAATCTTGCTTTTATCGCAGGCTGCTTGTTTATATCTATTTGAAATTTAATTGCACGACAATTGCTTGTTTATATAAAGCTATTATAAGATTATGATAGAAAAAAATTGTTCCAAAGAATGTAACTTATTCATCGCCATGATTTTAACCCGTTTTAAGAACACGTCGTGTTAATGTGTTTAATTTAAAAGCCGGATTTTGTGCTTAGTTTTTCGTCATTTTTACTTCGCTTCTGTCTCCTCTCGTCATGACGTCATCGCAATGTGATATCAAATTATTTCTGCCCCTGAGAATTTTATTTTATCACTAAAACGCGTTACAAAAACAGGATTGAAGAGATATATTCTATTGAGTACAAGATCAAAATTCTAATTCATACAAGATCAAAATTCATACACTAATCATCAATTTTGTTCACCATAACAAACATCACCGGATGATATTTAAGGTGCCAACCAGCACCAGAGGCTCAGTTATGCCTATTCGAAGAACCTGCTATAGAAATTTGAAAGCTGCTATATTTTATATGCTAAAGGAATTAACTAGAAAGGATTTTAAAGTTTATATGAAAGGGATGCTGTCTTTTACTCGCTGATTGTTAAAACTGTTGCTGAACTTCCAAATAAAATTGTTGTATAATGCGAATAAGCCAATTCAGATAATATATTTTGTTTCATGTACCTGCAAATAAGTTTCAATTAAGAACTATGATCCATATTTCAAGATTATCTGTTTTTAAGAGAGGCCTGTCAATGGCGGGAAGAGTAACTCTGTTTAACAGGTGGCGGCGTGATCATGCGGTGAACCGTAACGAGCTAAAAAATGGGCCTAGCCAATAATTTATGTATTTCCTTTGATTGCAAAAAACTCTGCCTTTCGGAAAACTGGGTAACTTTTTGGATTTAAGGCTAAACTTTTTGGATTTAAGGCTAAAGTTTTAAAGAGGTTTCAACATATATGGACCAATTACGCGTTTGAATCTTAGCTGTATCGACAAAGTTGTCAACCACCATCTTGAATTTCCCGTCATGCTTGAGTACACTGTGATAGCCTAATTGGTAAATATGAGAATTCATTTTTTAGAGCCGTTATTAACAATTCGGATTATTGCAAGATTTTTGTTTGTATGGCACAATACACGGGTCTTACGATACATTGTTACGCATGGTGGGAATTTTAACAAAAATTAGACTTACGACTTGGTAGGCGCTACGAATGTCAACTAAAGGTATGTCATGTTAGCGATGCATTAATTCATACCAAACTTAATGTTGTTACTAGATTTTTTGTTATTTCCAGCACAAACTTTCAATTTGCATACGAACAGTTATTTTAAACGCATACAAGAAACAGTATATTATTTTTAAAAGGTGTGAGAATAGCAGCTTGCCATATATTAAAGCACTATATTTTACGGTCAATTTTCAAAAACTCCTATACCAACTGCTATATTATTACAACTGCTTGTACATCCTTAGAACCAGGAGCAGTATTTGATCTTATGGCACCTTGTTCTTCTGTCCTTCCAGGGCCATAGAATAGCATCTATCATTAACATAAAACTGCACCTTTACAACATCATTTGCTTTGAATCTGACACCCAGTTGAGAGTTGTTCTCCATCTCGACGAAAGTTGGAAAACTACACAACATGAAAGCGATAAAAGTTATGCTTAGCTCTCAATATTCCTTTCCTGGAATTATCCCTGGAGATGGAACTCAATTCCATATCCAAGATGTATGAAATGCACGTCTCCTCAGTTTCATTCTAATCGACAGAAACAACATAGTCTCTTAAACAGTTGCTCCCAGATGGACGAACAATTAAAAAGCTAGCAGTCCTGTTAGTTATCTGTCTTGGATATTTTCTAATTTACATGCGTATTCTTGTTCTAGAGATCGTTGGTATGAGCCAAGCATAGATGTCAAATGAAAAATGTGGTTGTTTTACTTTGCTGCCTGTTTTCTTAGTATTGCCACTTCCAGTCGTCTGAAAGGTGAGCCAAAAATAAAAATAGCATGTAATCTTTCTGCTCATCCTTCTCTAGACCCATCCTCATTAGAGCTATATCTTCTAATAGATCCACCTTTCTCCAGAATGACCTCTCTTCTAAACACAAACTTCTCCTAGATCTACATTCTCTTCCATATCCCCCTTTGCTAGTTCTGCCAACGTACTTATCAGCCACTCCCTTTAAACGTTTTGAACCCTCCAGTTATCCCTCAACAAGTTAAAAACCTTCTTTCCTTTTTCAGATGATCCAAACTGTGTTTTGTATGTTGGATTTGATAGATATAAAGCAGAGTACCTCTTAGACGACTCCCAATACAACAACAAGGTTACGTTGCAAGATGGGGCAATGATATCGAAGAAGGACGGTAGCTGTGGGGTTTGTGCTCAGCTGCTTGGTGGGAGGATCAATGTTGATGGCAAAAGCTTTCAAGGTATGATAAATACCTTAATTCAATATAAAGGTTGATAAACCTGGTATTCGATTCCTTTGCATCGCTCTGAGATATTACCTTTAATGCCCTTTAGAACATTTGGATTTCCTTGGTGGCAAGGAACATCTAGCCAGAGGTGCTTTGGAGAGGGTTTAGGGGTTCAGCCCCCCTTTTTAAAACTCAGAGAGATTTTTGGGGCTCAGCTCCCCCTCCCTTAACAAATGAGTTCATATTTGTTTGGACGAATTCTGTGTTGGCAAACCTTTACCGTGCTATAGATTTCTTACGAACAAGCAATTTCTTACCAGTCTTTTTGTGTCATCGAATAGTTTAAATGACTTCTACACACAAACGAGAGTCTTTAATAAATATGCAAGTATATTGGGTGTGGTAAGGGTGTGGCCTCTTGAATTTGTCAAAAGAAAAGTCCTACTTCCTAACTTTTTAGGACGGCACCCCTGCAAACTACTACTCTAGAGGCAACGCCATCCACAGTTGGCTTTGTGAGGCATTTCCTGCTCTCTACAGTCCCCCTTCCCATGAAATTTCTTCTTGATGCAAAACAGTTTTCTGCAAGAGTTTTCCCTTTCTGCGTCTCAAAAAGCAACATCTAAGAATAATTCCGCTATACCTTTCCACTAACCACAGCCCCTCCAACCCCCAGCCAGTTATCAGGGCCGCCGCTTTGGGGGGTGTGATGGGATGTGACATCCCTCTTGGACATAAAAACTCATTGTAAATAAGAGGAGCTTTCTACCATCTAAGGTTGCTTCGTCGGCAAAATTCAGATTTGTCTGCAAAAAAAGGATGGCTCACCCACTTTGTCCGCAAATGGAATCGGAGCATCCACCCCCCCACCCCTTTGAGCACAACGGCTAGCAACGGCCCTGGCAACTGTTCCCTTTGTGCAATCTTTCAAGCCTCGTGTTCTTTCCGTGCTCTATTATCAATACAAATGTAGTTGGTGGACAGTTTTCCGTTTTTCAAATGATATTGGGTTTTTTCAGGAATTCCTCGAGATGGAGTAACTATTGCAATGATGGTTAACTTAGTAAACACTGCTGGAACCCACGAGCTGTTTGAAACGATAGGAGATCATTCAAGCCACAAACTTGGTATTGCTTCCTTTCTTTAAACCTTCTTTATTGATTATAACTTTATCTATTGGGCAATGGTAATGGTAATAAAGTTTATCACCCATAAGTGCTTGGGTGGAACGTCTCAAGTTTTTAGTTGTGATTTCTCTGAGTACCATATTGTCGAAAATGCCAAGGGGGTATTGTGGATCGATACAGTTATTTCTGAGACTAGATTTAAACTATATTTTTAAATTTGCTTTATGGAGACTTTGGCACGTTGCTATAGTTGTAACATGGGTGTTAAGAAAGGAACTCTGAATGTTATTTTGAATAAGCCTCCCCAAAATAATGCTACTGCAATGTTTACACCCATTAAAACACGTCAATTAGCAGTATTTGAGAGAGTGATGTTTTTGAAACTTCAGAAAAATTACATTAGCACGGCTTCTGTTCTTTCTTTCAAATTGATATGACGTAATTTTGTTTTAGGCCAGTATCATTTAGAAGTAGTTAATGGCAATTTGCGATGGTTTCATCGTAACGAGAAATCGGATACGGTCTTCTCTGTAACAACCGACCGGGTAGTTATCCAACCGGACACCTGGGTCGAACTTGTCGTGATGTACGATTCATTTAAAGGGAGAGCTGTTATTTACATTGATGGGCAGATGATTAAGGAAGAAATATCCGATCCGATGAAACTGTCACAAGACTGGGGCACATTTGCAGGTACACTTTGACCAAGTTAATTGAGGCTCAGACTGGCTGTTCTTATTTTTCCAGAGCTTGAGACTGGATTGTTCTTTATTTGTTATTGAAGTGCTCAATTCAGAACAAAAAAAAGCTTCTAGAAGGTTGAGGAGGAAAATATCGCACCCAGTAAATTCTCCTTTGTACCTCTGTACCTCTGTACGTGGTGCGATACGAAAAGTCTTCTGTTTTTGATATCCCCTTTCTATGCTGCATTGCATACAGGTGCTTTTGGTACTGCATAAAATGGTTTGTGTGTGGCTCCTTTTCCCTCAGAATGTAGAGAAAATATAAGATGTAGAAAAAAATCTGAACAAATGCCTCTCATGCTATTAGTTAGTGCTTATATTCCATTTGAATTGTTTGTTACATTGCTAGTTGCTCTAGAAAAATTAAATAAGGAAAATACAACAGCTTCCCTTAATCAATGCTGGGACTATTATTTTAATTACTTAGATTATTAAAATCCATTCTACTTGTAGTCCTGAAAATGAGAATATTCTATTTATTGAAACATTGCAGTATACTTTGGGGGAAACCTCTAGGATTGAGGAAAGAAGGAAAAAAGACAAAAAGGAACAAAAAGTGACTATTTAAATAACGTTGTGACGAGAAAACTGCTAATTACCTTTGACAGATTGTTAGGGGGAATGGCCCCCGGTCCTGCATCTTTCAGCTCTTAGACTTTGAAGCAAGCTCTTTCTCTGTACATCTTTATTGTGTTTTTTCATCATTGTGTTTTTCTTTTCAAGGAATCGGAGGAATGAAGAATGATCACGAACTTAAAGGATATGTCGATGAATTCTACATATTCAACAGGACTCTATCTGAGGGCGAGCTAAAGCAGCTGCATGATCGATGCAAAGGACCCTTGGCAACAAAAATCCTTCACTTGAATTTTGAAAACACAACTGCTAATCTAACATATGACATTTCTTTTCAAGGAAATGACGGCTATTTGGTCGGCTTTGCGTCGTCAGGTAATGGCTTCTGGAATTATACATTTAAATTGCTTCGAAATCCTCGTATATATTTTTCTCCATTGGCGAAGATTAAAATTACAATCACATCTCTTGAAACAAGCCGAAGTTTTGGAGGATGGTAAATCCGATTTACTTTGTCACTGAATTTAGAAGCAAGCACTTGCCTCTATACTTTATAAATATTAACCCTTTCCTGAGAAAAAAAGGATTTGTTAATCTTAATCGATGGTTTATTGAGCAGCAAAATTGGTTAGATAGAATTTTAGCAGAATCTTAGCAAATTCTTTCAGTTTTTACTTTGTTTTTCTGGCATGAAAGCTGTCGTTTTAATTAAAATTTACTGTGATGACCCGTGGCTTTGATAACCACTTTTTACCGGTGCGCACCAAAAGCAGATACAGAGCCAACGTCACTGGAGGGGTCATCTATGTAAAGATAGTTACTTCTTACCCCTTACCCTGGGTACTTACCCCTTAGCCTCCATTGTGGCAAACATTTTGCTTACGCTGTTTTACTTGGGGACTTTATATTCAATGTATTTTTGTAATCTAAAACTTTATCCATATTAATGGTGTGACTTGACTTGAATCTTTTATTTAGTTAAAAAGTTGGAAGGCCATGCCACCTGCCCCCCTGTGGCGCGGGCCCTGGAATAATATTGTCATTTATGCTGTCAAGGGGCCTAAGTATTTAAGGATATTTACGCACGTCCCAAAATTTCCTGAAACCCCGCGTTGGCAGGGACAATTTCGCTAGAGAAATTGGGTTTTCCCATCAGCACTTGTTTTTTTTTATTTTCTTCGATAACATTAATGAGATTTCTGATAAGACTTTGAGAAATAAAGGCTGGAGAGGTGCACACCTCCAGTAATGAAAAAACATGTTACATATATCCCTTTTTGAAGGGAAAGTAACTGCGGGGACAAGCCTTTATTCATATCAAAATGAGCACAATAGCCTGTTATTTAAAACAATTGAAACACATCGGGGCTGGAGGGGTGATTGCCCCCTAGTAAGTATGTCAAAAATGGCCCTGAATAGATGAAGGCAACAGACCGATGATGATTTTGTTGCGAAGATTTTATGTGACACAAAATAATTGAGTTCAAGTTATCCACACCCAGTACCATTTTCTGGTATTAGCCAGTTCGACACCTCCGAAACCTCTCGTTGGTCCTGAACATAGGTTCACAATTTCGACACTGATTTTCTGTTTTTATTTTAGCCAACGGAACATGTGGCATGGGTCTTAGAGTTGCTCATGGCAGTAGTAGTAATATAAATGTCCATGGTCCGTACTTCAGAAACAAACCTACTGATTCTGTATCAATCGTTATGTGGGTTAAGCTCGACGACAACTCTGGCACGCATCAGCTGTTTCAGACGATTGGAGGCCATTCGATGCACACACGAAAGCAGTACGATCTAAGAGTTGTTGATGGAGCGCTATACTGGGTTCACCATAATGAGTACAATCAGGAGATTTTCAAGGTTAAGACTTTACCAATTATTGTGGCAGGTAAGGGATGTTTATTGTGCCAACTAGTCTATTGTTCTCTTTAAGACTCTTTCTAATGGGAAGGCATTCTACTTGGAGAAATCATATACAAGAACAACGACAGCAACAAAAGCAGCAACAGCAACCAAATTTATGGCAACAACAGCAACATTAACAGTGATAATTATAAAAGTATTAACTAAAATTTTTCATTTGGAATTTTATAAAGCTGAACGCGAGAATTTTCTGCCTGTATCAGACTACTAAAACCCTAAAATACATTTCTACTAAGAAAAAATCAAAGTATAGGCTAAAATAACTATCTTCCTTGCACAATGGTTCTCCAATACAAATACAAATACAAATACAAATACAAATACAATTGTTGCCAATGTATGTTTTAGCTCACCCTCGATTTTCTAGTAAATGTTTATTGAAAACGAATATTCATCATACTCAATTTGTGATTACATTTAAGGAAGCATTTAGGAAATTTTAAAAACATTTTTTAATTGCAATCCAATTCAGTAATCTTTTGACTTCAATTCAATGCATCAGATTATGCTACATTCTGTTATTATGGCAGGTATATGGACCAACATTGCAGTCACGTATGACTCTAACAAAGAAGTCGCAGTTATTTATGTTGACGGAGACATCAAGGAAGGCTCGACCGGAGCCGGGGCCTTATCAGAGGACTGGGACGGCGAAGCATCATTCGGTAAACACAACTCGTCAGCAGGGTCCTTTGATTGGTTCGATGAAATCTATATGTTTGATAAGGAGCTCACTCCATTGGAGATAAGGACTATCTATATGAAATGCAGCTATGTGCTCAATGTAGGTGAGTCAAAAAGAACTTATTCATACACGATCTGGATCAGAACATCAATCTTGACCAGCCTTTAATTTTGATAAATAAGTTAGTTGCATCTAAGTAATCTTTGAATAAGTTATAAATTGAAAGCTCTTGCGCAACCAGCAAGCTTTGCGACTATTGTTCAAAGAACCGGCCTAATATCATGCTGCATGAAAATTCAAAACACTCAGCTTCTCTACAGCTAAGCATGCTGGTTGCACGAGAGCCATTTAGTTACAATTCCGGGTTGCTCTACACAGCAAAGAGTGCAGGGACGTAAATAAGTGGCTAATTTTGGGTGGTCGTCGAAGGTTGAAAATTGCAACTTTACCTGATGAATTTTTTCTTTCGACCTGTTAGTCTTCTGTACCTACTAATTTGATTTGGAAATAGCCTTATGGCTTATTCTAGATTTTAAGGTTCTGTATAATTACCAACATTTTACATATAATAATTGGTCTTAAGCATAAAAACATTAAAGAAGATAAAGGAAATCTCTAAATTTTGATTAACGTAACAGGAACATTTAATCTTTTCGTAAGATATAAAGCAACATCAAAGCCATACCAGTCTAGATCTTGAATATGTTTAATGATAAAAAGTAATATTCTTTCAAGTCAATTAACAACAATTCTGCTGTTCAGTTTTATATAAAATATCTTTTTAACAATATAAAAGCATCAAGGAATTGACCATTTAATTTTTTGTTCTTGATCGAAGGACAGTTTTTTACAATTTTCAAAGGGCTAAATACCCTTTGTTTTTTGGAACTGAAAAGGGGGATCTGAGGGCAAGTGTATATGCCCGATTTGTAAGATAAAAAACTCTTCTTTGATCAAGTACTCCTGCTGCAGCTTCTTTGATCAATGATTTGTTGCTTCTCATCACCTTTATCATAGCAATTTATGATAAGATTTTAGGAGGTCTACAAAGTGCAGGGGGAGCTTAGCATACACCCGTTAAGAAGCGTTGAGAATTTCTAGCAATGAAAGATTTTTGATGTCAATACTGATGGTAAAATTTAAACTTCTTATCCAGAAATTCACCTTGCCTGTTCAAAATAATTTTATTCAACTTAACCCGTGTCAAAGAAGAAACAAACGATGCAATGGTGCAATTTGAGATCCAGTGGAGACAGGGCTTTACAATTAAAAACGATTAGAAGATGTTCCTGCTCCAGAGTTTGAATTTCAACAAGATCTAAGATTTTTACATTTAAAATCCCAAAATCCTAAGCTATAAAATTCACATATTTGGTCATAATAGTTAGAAAAAATTCCAAGTGAACTTTTAAGTTTTCCAACTGCAATTTGGATTTTCCAACCTTTGGGGGAGGCGTCACGCCCCACCCCCCCCCCACTCTTTGCGTGCCTGAAAGCGTGTACTTAAAGTCAAACTAAGAAGACATCAATATACGATTGTTATTAAATGTTTGAATAACCACATGGCTGGAAAGCATGCATTGTTCTATCACCTAAGCCCTGGCCAGGTTTCATTTAAATCTCGTTTGAATTTGATAAAAGGAGCAAAAACAATGATATCTAATCTGTTAATTATATTATATTAATCGAATCAGAAGCTCTTTGATTAGATAACCTCTCTGATTTATATTGATTTTCTGTCTGTTGCCAACTTTAGCTTCGGGTAGTCAACCTCAACTGATTTACCTCAACTTCGATCGGATTTCTGGAGAGACAGTTCAAGATGACTCAGGGTATTCTAACGAAGGAACGTTAGTAAACTTTAGTCAGCTTGCAAGGGACGCTGGGAAGTGTGGACACGGAATTCGATTTCAGGGAGGTAAGAGCATCAGTGGATAGTATATTTGTTCTGTATACTTATTTTTTCTTGTACCGGTACCCAGGGTATATTTCTTGTAGCTGCTAGCTGTGAATTCTTTAAAGGCATTTGGCATAGGTAAAGGTGGCCTACAACCACTCGACCACCAGGGGTTGACCAATCAAATTGCGCCCAGAGGAAAACACGTCGACAGTCTCCGCCTTTCTTCGGTGAAATCTTAAAGCAGCGCACAGTGGATTCACGCGAGCAGTTTCCAGTCCCTTATACAAATGCGCGTGCTCTGATCAACTTGGTCTAAGTTGCTTTTGGATTCACTGTACTTATCCATGTCAAATGCCTATAAAACATCGTAGTTATACATAGCTATACAAATGGCTAAATCGTAGTTATACATTGTTTTCACAGAGCAAGTGCTCAAAGCCAGTTCATAGCTTGAGATAAATTTTTACTGTTGAATATTTTCAATCTGTTATCACTGAGCAACGTATTGCGGTACATTCAAAGCAACATTTTCAAAGCATTCAAAGCATTAATTCTATTTGTTACTATTTTTTGGTTCAATATCGATATGAGATTTGGCCATGAATTGCATGAAGTTGGCCTTGAATTGCATAAAGTTGGCCTTGAATTGCATGAAGTTGGCCTTGAATTGCATAAATTTTATGATTTGTTGCTGAAATGATTCTCATTTCTCAAGGCCACATTCAGCTTAATGGAAACCAAATAGTGAACAAACCAACTGTTGGAATCACCGTAGCTGTTTGGGTGTACATTGACTCTAACGAGGGGCAGCAAGAAATCTTTCAAACAATCGATCCCTACGCTGATCAAAATAAACACGGACAGTTTTACTTAGAATTAAGCGATGGGCAGATTCGATGGTTCCATCGTAATAACAAAGGAGAGGTTGGTATTTCATTTCTATTTATATGCTTAGTTTGTTGCTTGAATAAGTAAAAAACGTTAACTCAGAGGTGTTTATCTCTGAAAAGACCTTTTTTCTACTTCTTACCAGAGTCCTAAAATCTTTGTTATGAAGGCTTTTCGTGTAATGGTCTTTTCGTAGCCAATTTGATCTAACTAAAAAATAGTTCATCCTACTCTATGTAAGCTTCTGCATTTCTAAATGCTTTTCAGTGCAATTTCAACAAATGTATGTGTGGTTCTAATATGTTCATAAGGGCATTACGCCTTTCATGAGATATTTTAGGGCCTAGGTGCGCCTTAGATTTCTTGAGGTTCCTTACTTTCCAGTTACTTGCCACTGGCCTTGCGTCTTATTTCATCCTGTATTTGTCTCAAAATTTTGTATCCTATCGGCGAATATTATCGTGTGGTCTTGATAATATGGTTATCAACCCACCATCTATTTTATCATAGGGTCGTCCGGGTATCCATTTTTCACATTTGATTGCAATTTTATCTCTTAACAGACGGTTTTTAGCGTGGAAACCAGTAAGCCTGTTGTACTCCCTGAAACCTGGACCCATGTCGCTGGGACCTACAACAGCTCACTTGGGAAAGCAGCTATTTTTATCAACGGTGAGTTATCGAACGAAGAACCTGGGTCTGGACTTTTGTCACAGGTAGGTCCATGTCTATGAAATTTTGAATATCTTTTCTTGTGTGGTTGATTGGAACGTTTTTTCATCTTGAACGAAGGTTAATTTAAATTAAAAGTAGATCCAAGTGTTTTATATGGGTTTTTTCGATATACTTGCTTTCTAACCTTTCATTACTGTTTAAGTTTAATTTCCATAAAAGATTCAATTTCATTTTCTTAAGGCTCTTGAGCTGTATTCCGTCAGTCATATTCATAAGATTTGTTACATAAAGGGACCCGTAATGACCATATCTAATAATGGTATTTTTCAAAACCTTTATCATTTTGTTATTTTTAGGACTGGAATGGCAGAGTTAGCATTGGTAGATTTTACGACACTTCGGACAATGGAGAATGGATCGAAGGCCGGCCATTTTATGGAATCTTAGATGAGTTTTATCTTTATAACGAGGCACTGTCTCGATCGCATATCAGCAAGCTGAGTCAGATTTGTGATTTCCGAAGGATTGTTTTGTTTTTCGGATTCACACAGATTGAGGGACAGAAGATCCTTGATCAATCTGGATTGTCAAATAATGGGGAGATCACTAATGGAACAGATTTATGCGATGGAGTTTGTGGCCAAGGCGTTAATTTCACTCAAAATGGATACATAGCATTAGATGGAAAGACTTTTAAACAAAAGCCAATTGCAGCGATATCAATTTCAACGTGGCTGCGACTTAACACAAATAGGTATGTTTAAGACAAAGGACCAGGGAGCATAGTGCGGATATGGGAGTTGAGGGGAAGGGGGCTGTGGCTGAAATATTTTCAATGTCCTAAGTAATGAGAAACGAAACTACTTAGTGAATGGTTATGAGTACTTTTAGGGGTTTTAAGCACCCTACTCCATTATCCTTGCACCTTTGGTCCCTGCTCGAGATACTTCTGTGTTTTTCTGTTTTAATTCTTTGGTGAACCCAGGGGATACTCGTATATATGCAGGATAGGGGTGCTCGGGCTGGGGTAAAACCATCATCCCAAAAGATTAGTTTCCAGCAAGAAATAAACTAGTTTTTCTCGCCCTGCGCAAAAAGTAGGTTTTTTCTATTTTGTTTTACCTTTTCTAATATCCAAGACCCAAAAGATAATTAAAAAATCAACGAACACCAAAAAGTAATTAAACTACTGACTGACCCAAAAAATGTAACCTAAGCTTTCCTATCTTATATATAGATGAGTACCCCCCCCCCCCCAACTTACAAAGAGGATAGATAAGTGTTATCTTCTTAGTTGAAAGCAGTAACGTAGATATAGAGGGGTCGGCGGGGATGAAATACCCACTTTAAAGCTAAACAATTTTTGTCGAAAAAGATATTACACAATTTTCTTTTTTACATCTAAGTGATACACTTTGAGGGGAAAGGTTTTATAGCTGAATATAACGACTTCTTACATTGCTCTGAATCAAATGGCCAATCTTTTTAACACATCATCGTACTTGAAAATACCTTTTAAGTGGTGAAATCCAGATAATCTTCAAGTTGTAGGATTTACGATCTTCAGCCATTATAGATTAATTTCAAGAGTTTATGTCGCCCCTCCTATACATTTTCTTATCCACGGCAATGGTAAAAGTATAATTATGCATTTCTCTATTCTGCTTAGTTTAAACGCGATGATGTAATTTCCATTTCCGCTACAGAACATTTTTAAGCTGTTTCTTATTGCTATTTTAAAAAGTTTCTTATTTTGGGTAGATTTTAAGGAAGTAAATGTTAATTATATTAGAATCTGTGATACAGTGATTATGCATCTCACGATTTATAGTTGTGATTTAATATTATTTTATTCACTATAATGCTCTTCTAAAAATATTTTAGGGGCTCGCATGAAGTGTTCAATACAATTGGCAGCCACTCAATGCATAAACACGACCAGTACCATTTTGTGATTGAAGATGGAACGGTGAAGTGGATACATAAGGACCACAATGAAAAAGAAATATTTCGATTGGTCACACTAGCTGTGATAAAACCCAGGCAATGGGTCCATTTGATAGCTACTTATGACTCTCAAGAATCGAAGGCAAAGGTATTTCTCAATGGACAATTGGTGAAAGAGGCTCCAGGATCAGGTTATCTTTCACAAGATTGGGGACATTTTGCTGGCATAGGCCGGCATTACTACGATCCTCAAGCATCATTTGCAGGAGCTCTCGACAATTATTTCATTGCAAATTACGCACTTCCCGAGGACGAGATTCAGTATATATCAAGAGATATTTGTAAATGGTAGTTCATTTAACCACATAACTATAACTTAACTTAAGGTCCACAAGTACATAAGAAATAATTTGGTGAACAGTCAAGGAAATAGGGAATAATCTTGGGTAGCGGAGTGTTGGCTTTCAGTGAAGGGCGCCTCTGAATACTTTCTCTCCCTGCTCTTTTAGAAAAGACAGCTGCCCTTTTCCCGCATAGCTACAGGCAACTGATTAAAATATATTTTTAAACTTAATAAATTTATTTTACGAGAAGCGATGATGGAGAATAAAATTCATTGCATTATGGCTGCGAACATGCTAAATTAGTTGATAACTTCATGAATTTGCAAAGACTCTCTCTAAACAAAGAAATTTTGGAAATTACCAGCATGGAAAAAGAACTGTTAAGCTCATTTTAGTTTTATTAGTAACTAAGAAAATTACCAGAGAAATAGTGCTAAATTAGAAACGGGGATGGAAAGGCCGGGAGATTGACTTTAATGTGATTGCCAAGTAGCGACTAATTCTTACAAAGAAATTCATGAAACGTCGGTCTTTTCATAAAGCCCTCTTCACAAAATCTTCCGGAGTGGTCTCAACAAATATAAAAAGCCTTTGATCACTGTGCCAGAAATAGACTCTTTTGTTGATGGTACAAGAGCAGCCAATTTTCCGAGGATTCCTTTTTAAGTGGCTTTCCTCTATCCTTAAAAGCTTATATAGCTTCCACTATTGTACGCAAGCAAGCAACCTTGTATATAGTTCTAATCAACTTCTATTTTACTTTTAATGCATTTAAGATTTGAGACAAGATAAATTTTGTAATAAATCGTTGCAATACCATAAAAAACAATTTGCAATCAGCTTGCATACAAACCCTCGTTTTACTGTGGATTTGTTAATACATATTTTTGCCTGAATTTTGTCTACTTAATCTATCTAATTATAATCTTATATCATTGCAAGAAAAAGTGAGAATAGCCTGAAATTACCAAAAAATTTCCATGTGACAAAGATAAGGGAAAGCAATCTTTATCTGGTTGAATCTGAGTATACTGAGTCATTATTTGGTGACGTCATTATTTGGTGACGTCATTTTGACGTCCAGTATCATGACGATTGATTGAAATAACTATTTTAAGGATGCAAAGGAAAACATTCACTTTTATCTTGAAAACATTTTGCCCTTCCTATCCTAAAAAGTAGAAGCATTTCTTACAGGCCTAAAAATTGAAAGTTATTTGCTTAGGCTGAAAATATCGGCATAGCAATAATACAATTAAACAACAACAGTACCGTAGAAAGGATAGAATAATTGAAAGGCACCTCTGCTAGAGAGCAAAAGGAAAAAAAAGAGATTGTTCATGGGGAAACAAAGAATTTTAATGTAATTTCTGCAGGGGCATGAGCCCCCTTCCTCTAAAGAAAACAGTAGGTACAGACCTGACCGTCGTAATTCTGACAAAACGACGATACCACTAATCCACAGAAACGTCCCGACAAAACTCCGTAAAATTCTGAAAAAATCAAAGACATCCTTTTTCTATAAAAATGCTGTTACAAATGATAACCAGATTGATAGTGTTTGAAATTAGATGGTTCTTTGCTCGTACCATTTGCAGTTTAATGACCTTTGAATTTAAAGACTTGATATTTGTTAAGTTTGATTGACTTGAACATCAATAATCAGTTTAAATTAGCCAGCAAAAACAGATAATAATGGTTAAGGAATTAACGAATAATTTAAGAATGATATTGTTAAAAATGTTTAATTAGTCTCTAAGAAGAAAAGAATTAACCAAGAATTAGATAAGGAGCTAGATTAAAAAACCAGGTTAAAGGCAAGATAAAGAGACTTTTTGCCTAGGCAAACTCATAAACTAACAAGAGCCTGCCTGAAAAAATGCACTCAAAATAGTATGCTTTTTCATCGTTTGGTTTAGCAGCACCACCCATTGAAATATTTTCCTCTAGAAACTCATCTGTCACATGTCAAATAATATATTTTCGTTACAAGTTGCATACAAAAGACACTTATGTTTCAAAATTTTACATTTCCTAAAGTGGAGTGAATAAGCGAATGATCTGAATTTCTTCTAATTCTACGCACTTTGAGTCCCTGTGTGAACGGAATTCCCGCCATTTTACTACGAGCAACGCCAACAACGTCAACATTCTGATCACATTCACGCTGACAAAATGGCGGCTACAATTGTGATGGACAATGGCGGATCTACCATAAAAGTAGGGCTTAGTACCGATAATAAGCCAAGGTAGGAAGTTTTTCTACTTGAAAATCTAAGTGAAGAAGATATGAGATGTTTTAATTCTTGATTTAACTTAGGTTTTAATGATTTATGATTGGTTTTACAGTGAATTAATGGCTCAGTCATCAAGCTATATGATCTAGTCTGCAGAGTGTGGCTTGTGCAAGATTTTTTCAGAGGCTTGTAGAACGCACACAAGAACATAGGGCTACACATTCATTTTTCTGGGATTTCCTGAAATTTAATCTTACAAAATATATGATTGACCTAATGCTATATCATAATCCAAACTCAAAATTTTGTGGAATGCTTGAAAGTGCTTTGGCAGAAAATAATTGCTGTGCACACTATGTGAGACAAATTGACAAATACTTTGCCCATTAGAAACTTGCTGCACATATTGGATCAAAACTGAGCAGTGTGCACACATTGCACACTTTTTCAGCACTCTTGCACGCATGTATACATTTATATTTGCTCCTGCACACACAAGATCTTGTCAAAAACTGCCACGCTCTGCAGACTGGCCTATGATGTGAAGCAAAACATTTAGGAATTAAGATGAAAAACTCAAGTCGAGCGCACACTTTAAATTTTCATTCATAAAATACCAGATAAAAGCTTGATATTTGTGATCAATTTTTTTCTAGGGAGTAAGTAAACTATTTCAATTCATATTTTTAGATTAGTGACAAATGCATGCTGCAAAAGCAAAAGTGAGAGAAGAAAGGTTTTCATTGGTGATCAATTGAATGAATGCAAAGATTTTTCCGGCCTTTTTTATATTTTACCATTTCAGAAGGTTTGACGTTCTTTTCTAGCCTTATTGAAAATAATTTTTCAAAAAATTCAGAAATTTGGTGAGACAATTATTATAAAATTATTATTATTATTATAAGATTATTTACAGTAGGCGAAGCAAAATTTTTTATCTAATATAACAGCTAATTAAAGCCTACTATTTATACTACATTTACAAATCTTAAATTAATTACAATGAATGGATAAAATGATATAGGAAATGTACAAAATTAAAAGGATGACTCATTAGATAAAAATATACAATTATTCGATGACTATTTCAAGAATCCAATCTGCGCAACGTAAGGCTTGCATAGTCTGCAATTGCATTTTGTATCTTTCCAAGTTTTAATCTTTTTCTTAAATATTGCGAGGCTAGAAGATGTTTTAATGTCATTAGTAAGCTCTTGCCAGAGCTTGGATCCCATAAAGGTTGTACTTTCTATACCATAACAATTTGATTTTGGTTTTCTTGACAAAAAGATATCTTCACAAAAGCTAGAAGAATAGTTTTATTTTCCTGAGTTAAAAATTTAGAAATATCTGTCCTATCATCTTTCAAACTGGCATCTTCTGTAAGTTTACAACACCAACTAATTTTGAGCCAAGCTGAAATTTCCCCCTGTTGAGAAGGCGTAATAAGTATTTATCAGATTTCAGTGTTGGCCATCATGGCATAATCTGTTAATTACGTCAGTTGTTTTGGTGCATATCAGTAGCACAAGATTTTGTTGATTCCAGCATAGATCAAATGGCACTACTCAAGATCATTCTAGATTTCTGCAAATTAGGTATTTCTCTAAAGTTTTGTAAATGTGAGCAAATTCTTGTCTTGCAGGGTTATTTGGTAAACTGGGAGGTTCAGCGTCAAATATGGGATTACGTTTTCAGTAAAAACTGTTTGAATGTGAGACAAGTTGAATTCAAATTTTTTCATTTCTAATAATTCTTTGCTATTTGTATTTTATTGGACCTTTGATATGTTATCAATAACAACAGACTGTTATTGTTTTGTTGTGGCATGTGCTGAACTTCCAGCGAGTTTTTTTATATTTAACATAAGGCTTGAGAGGGTATCATTGTCATAAATTCTTATAAATTTATTATCTTTAGAGTCTTTTGTTGATGACATTGTGTGTCTGTCTGTCTATGAAATAGAAGTGTCTGTTCAGGATGCATTGTTAAAACTGATTCCATCTCTCTTTGAACGTGATTAATCCTTTTTTAATGTTTGTTTTGCTTGCAGGTTGACCCGTCAGACTCAAATCTTGTGTTAAGTGAGCCTCAATTCAACTTTACATCGATAAAGGTTAGATATTATCGTATTAAAAAATATCTATGAATAAATTCCTGCTGGATTTCCTCCTGAGTTTTGTTTACAAATTTGCAGAACTATTGCCAAGAAAATCAAAACTTTTGATTGAGCACCCCTCAATCATTTGAGCAGTGCCATAGCTCTTCCTCTCCTCTATGCTTCCCTCAAATGCTGGATGAGACCTGTAAATTGCCATCCTAAACTGCTGAACAAACCATTTGCTGTTCTTGTCATCATTTTCTGTTCCTAGCTTCATTTTTATTCATTTATAACTAGCTCCCTTCCCCTACAATTTAAAAGGAGAACCATGTAGGTGCCCCTGCTTAAATCTTTAATAACAGGCCTGCACCCAATATGCTTGCTCATTCTTATGTTTAGTGCAGCAATGAATTCGTTTTTATAGTGGCTTTTACATGTATTCAATTTGTGTGTATTGAATTTTATTCATATATTGCTCTTTCCAGGAATGTATGGATGAAATATTGTTTGAAGAATACAGAGTAAATGCACTTTATAGAAGCACAGGTAGTCATGTTAATTTGGAAGGTTTAGAAAGTACCTGACATAAATGTGCTAGAGAATATTCAAATGAATGTTGAGTGGCAGAAACCTGTGGGAGGCATTTGCCCTCCCTCCCTGCCCCTCAATATTTCTGGAGGACAATGATATTTTATTCTAAAACAATGGGAAAATGTGACATCATCTTATCAAAGCAATATGCTTGCCCCCAATATTTGACCAACCCTGTGAATGTTGTATTGTATTTGCAATCTAGCACTGTTTAACATAAATCGATTTGAACCTTTTATAGTTCTTGAAACAACTCATAAAACCTAAGCTGCATATCTGTATTTAAGAAATCCCTTTTCTTATGATCCTTTTCTTATTAAATTATCTTGCTGACCTTTTTTGAAGTGTTTGTTGCTTGATAAAAAATAATAATAATAATAATCATCATCTCAGACTCGCTATGATCCACCTCCATCTTCTTCAACTCTACATTTTACTTTCACCTTCAGGCCCTTCTGATCTTTCTGCACTGTCCCAACAATGTTTTCTTTGGTCTTGATACTGCTCTTTTTCTAGAAATCTCTACTTCTTCCAAAAATCACAGTACTGCTTTTCCTTCCCCCTTCAAACATGTCCAAACCATCATATCCTTCACTGCCTAATATTATTCTGTATTATTATAGGAAATAATATACATTTCTTATATACTAAATAAATAATCAGTAGAACAGAACTATATCAACTAAATAATCTTGTCATGGCTTTTATTAGAGTTACATATTTTGTTGATATTAATCATCATACAGAAATGTGAATTACTATTGAAGCTCATATAAAGCCTGCTAGGGGTCTTATTAACAATGAATGTTTTCAACCGAACTTGCTTTATTGAGTTGCCTTAATAACAGAAATTTGATTCAATTCAATTGGATTTTTTGTTCAATATGGCTGGGTAAATAGGCATAGATGAAAAGAGGCTGGTGGGGAGCAGAATTCCCCCCTAATCTGGCAAAATTTATTGCTTTTTAGACTCTATTTTGGCTTTTCTACCTTAATGTAGCAGCAATATTTGGTCAAAATCCATACTAAAAAGCCTAAACAATTAGTATTTGCTACACCCATATTCAGGTGCACCTTACCTTCCTGGGATTATGGAAAAAATTTATACTACCACTGCCTAATTATGTGTGTCTTCATTAAATTCTCTCTGGTTAAGGCTTAGGTTCAAATGCAAACGCTATAGGCAAAAGAAAATAACATTCTATGATAAGGGTCATTATCTCCACCTTTTTACATGTTTATCGTCATTTTTTCTGTGTTTTTCATTTCATTTTTAAATATTCTTCATTTTTTCAGCTGCCCAACTCAGTGCATATAAGCATTGTCAGGAGAGTAAGCAAAAGCCATTATGCTGTCTTGTACTTGATTCTGGCTTTTCATTCTCCCATGTGGTACCTATTTGTGATGGTAAAATTGTCAAAAAAGGTGTTAAAAGGTGATGAATCTATTTGAATCTTATTGTTGTATACAGTGCCGACCTATGGTTCCTATATACCAGTGGTTAGTAAATAAATATTTGATGAAAGATAGAAATAATTATATTATATGATAACTTTGCTAGTAGTGCTGGATTTCTAAAAATATTTGTTTTTGTGTTATTTTTTGGTTGAATTTTAGTATTCACATAAATATCACTCTCAGTTATTCATCTTAACTTTTTAATCTTAAAAACATCTCAGCAACTAAATATGCCAGTTAAATTATCAATAGGAAGATAGGTCCAGATTTTATTGTTTATCTCTTTAATTTACCTGTGCTTATTACCAAGCTTGACAATCAAATTTACAAAATGTTTCTAATAAGTATTTTGTCTTTCATTTGTCAAAGCCATATATCAATTTCTCTAATAAATCGAAGACAGTAAAAAAGTTTTTTCACTGACAATTATTGGGTACCCGACATAGATATTCAGGGTGCAGAACAGTTGTTAGGGTTAATACTCACTAATTTTAAGTGAAATCAATTCATGAAATTAATTGCAGAAAATCATATCAAGGTTATATTAAACATTTTGAAAGTTGATAACACCTTCTGTTTACATTGCTTAGTGAATTTTCTTTTACCAAAGCACTTTTATCTGACCACACAACAGTTTCAACCAGTCTCTGAAACCTGCCTGTATTAAACAAAAATCAACTATTTTTTCTTTTTCTCAGAGTAAATGTTGGTGGAAAGCTGATGACAAACCATTTAAAAGAGATATTGTCATATAGGTGAGTCAGTGAACATAATTGTGTTCCACTTTAGTACCAGCATTTCATAAGACAATGGTCATTATGGACAAGGGAGTTTTATATCTGAGAAAATTAGGCATTCTAGTACAATTTTTTTTATCTTAATTTCAATGTATACATGAAATAGAATCTAGGGAACAGCTGACCTCCTCATTGCAAGCAAAACTCTTTTCTCCACACACAGAATTAACAAATCGTATGACTGAAGGACTTTTCGTACTTGCTGGTTGATTTTCACTATTTGTACCTTAAACTTCATAGAACACTTTTTGTCGCATTGCAGTTAATTTGTGCTGAAAATCTAGACAAAGTACTGTTTTGAAATTTAAGTGAAAGAATTAGCCTCATTTCTACCTTTCTACCACTGAGCGGACAGTTACCTCAACATAACAGTTGCTTTTTTCATGAACACATTATCTCGTACAGGCTGAATGTAATTCTCGTTTTTGCTGCTACCTACCGCGTTCTGTAACACATTGTTTTCAACCTTAGGCATGTCTTCCAAAGCTTTTCTATTCATTGAAATAGCACTGTGATTGGACTCTTTGAATTTTTCTCCACACAAAATTTGCAATCAATTACCTTTCATAAACTACCAAATGAGCAAATGACTTTCCTTCTTCTTACAGACAGCTGCACGTTATGGACGAAACATATGTAATCAACCAGGTTAGCCTAAAAACATTCTCTTTTGCTGCAAAGCCACATTTCTAGACAGAATCGCCAGGATATTTGTCTCTTTTCTTTTAGATTCAAACAGATGTTGGCAGTTGATTTCCTAAAGAGCTACCTGAGAGATGCATAAGGACTGTTATATAAGAACCTCACCATTAAGTTGAAGACTGTTTTGTTTACTATCAAACTGGGCTAGGTGGTTTTACATCTCACCATTGGCACTTGCCAAACTGTCTTGTATTTCTATTATGACAGCGAAGCTTTAGAAAGTAACTGAATGGGTCCCCCCCCCCAATTATGATTTTCGTTCCGACAACACTGCAAGAATTGAAGTTTTATTCGTTATCTATTCAGAATTTTTTTCAAAAATATTTCTTAATACATTTAGAAAGAAGGAGCTATATTTACTATGAATATTTTAAAGGCCATATTTTTTATATCCTGCGTTTTTTGTTTGCAATACATGCATAATATACTTCACGTCTTTGGCTGCCATATATTTGAAATGAACTGATGAATGTTCAATGCTCAACATCTAGGGAATGTTCAATGTTTTTATCTCCGTAGGTTAGGGAAGATTGCTGTTATGTCTCGTCGAGTTTTAATAAAGATATGGAGATATCAAAGTAAGCTTTTATCTCATGTGGTTGATTTTAGTTTCAGTTTCAGATGCAGTTTCACTTCGGCGAGAGGGTGGGAACATTAGGTGAACAAGAAACCAATGAAACCAATGTGGATAGTATCGCCCGTTCCGTTTTATAATTGGTAATACATTATCAAACCTAAATTTGACGATACGGGGTTTATCCATGAAGAGATGCTCGTCTGAGCAGACTGGTGATTCAGAATGTTGATTGTTTCAAATATTTGTAAGTCTAAAACGAGAGGTTTAGAATTGTTGTAGATTTAGAACGAGAGGAACAGGTGGAAGTGTGTGGCTGAGGTACAAACGGTTGCCTCCTTCATTTTGCTCACTATATTAGAATTACCCCTTTGGATTGTCTAATTAGAAAATACCTATTCCATGTCGGCAGAGCTGGTGGCAGGGTTGAAATGGAGCATGACCATGAGCTAAAATTCCTTGTTTATGCTCTTCAACTTTAAACACACAGTCGTTGAAATAAACTAGGCCATTCTATGGCTTATCTAGTGACCTCAATTTTTTGCAAAATGAAAGTTTACTGATCAGCATGATTCATGTTTATCTGGGGGGTTTGGTGGGTGGTGTTTGGCTCTTGCAACGGCAGGATCCTGGCTCCGCTTGATGGGCTCCCTGGATGGGGCCTGGTGTACGGTATTCTGTGGGTTGGTTGTGGCTCTGTGGCTGGGGGCGGCATTGCTCTGCATGGATTTTCGTTGTACCTCAATGTAGCGTAGTGTTTATTGGAAAGGTGTGGTGTAGTGTTATGTTGCGTACTTTTTTAGCTGATTTAGAGATAATTGTTAAAATTCATTGTAAGAGCCATTCATAGTAGGGACTAGATGGCCATGTGTCTTTTCCCGTTATGATTGGCTCAGGTTATTGTATTGTAGTTTCTTTTAATATCATGTAAAAAAAGAAGAAAAAAATCAAAAGTAATCATATATCTTTCAACAAGGACCACCTTTCTTCTAATAGCATGCCAATTTGTAAAATCTCATTTAATTTCCCCAAGCCCTATGATTCAGACAACCGTATTTTAAGTACTTAGTAATATACCTTGCGCAAAGGAGATTTTAAAGATTTGAATGAATTTTTATAAGCGAAGATGCCAATTTTAACTGGCGTAACTGCTATTCTAATAGTATAATGAGTTGCAAGATGTGTCTCGTTTGGTGCAGAACTCGTGTCATTGAAAAGTAAAAGAGGTTGTCGAGTTTACAGTCAGCACTTACATTTGACTACAGAGTCCCTGTATTGTTGTATATTTTCTTTTACGTTGAATCAGTAGGCTAGTTATGTTTAAGTCAACAGTCAGCACTTACATTTGACTACAGAGTCCCTGTATTGTTGTATATTTTCTTTTATGTTGAATCAGTAGGCTAGTTATGTTTAAGTCAACAGTCAGCACTTACATTTGACTACAGAGTCCCTGTATTGTTGTATATTTTCTTTTACGTTGAATCAGTAGGCTAGTTATGTTTAAGTCAACAGTCAGCACTTACATTTGACTACAGAGTCCCTGTATTGTTGTATATTTTCTTTTACGTTGAATCAGTAGGCTAGTTATGTTTAAGTCAACAGTCAGCACTTACATTTGACTACAGAGTCCCTGTATTGTTGTATATTTTCTTTTATGTTGAATCAGTAGGCTAGTTATGTTTAAGTCAACAGTCAGCACTTACATTTGACTACAGAGTCCCTGTATTGTTGTATATTTTCTTTTATGTTGAATCAGTAGGCTAGTTATGTTTAAGTCAACAGTCAGCACTTACATTTGACTACAGAGTCCCTGTATTGTTGTATATTTTCTTTTATGTTGAATCAGAAGGCTAGTTATGTTTAAGTCAACAGTCAGCACTTACATTTGACTACAGAGTCCCTGTATTGTTGTATATTTTCTTTTATGTTGAATCAGTAGGCTAGTTATGTTTAAGTCAACAGTCAGCACTTACATTTGACTACAGAGTCCTGTATTGTTATATTTTCTTTTAATGTTGAAGAGGTAGGCTAGTTATGTTTAAGTCAACAGTCAGCACTTACATTTGACTACAGAGTCCCTGTATTGTTGTATATTTTCTTTTATGTTGAATCAGTAGGCTAGTTATGTTTAAGTCAACAGTCAGCACTTACATTTGACTACAGAGTCCCTGTATTGTTGTATATTTTCTTTTACGTTGAATCAGTAGGCTAGTTTTTTTTAAGAAGTGCACGTTGTGAATTAGCAGTTTATTTGAATTTTCGGGATGCATTTTGTACATATAAGAACACTAGGTTAATAAAAGAAAATAAAAAATGAAATGAATTTAAAGGACGTCCACTGAAGGTCCCTGCACAAAGTGTTATTTTCTTTTTACCCAGGAAGATGCGAGAAGAGAACATTATTGCTCGTGATTACGTGTTACCAGATTATGCCAATGTAAAAAGGGGATACATACGGGTGAGTCAAATTGCACGGTTTATTTTTTATGAACGTCATAGATGGAACACCGGCATAATTTACTAAGACCTTAAAATTCTTCTAGAAATCTCCAAAAACATGGCTTTTAAACACAAATGGGCAAATTTGCTGTTGTAATCCTGTTTTCTGTGTTTAATTTCTGACTTTCTGTGTTTTCTGTGTTTTCTAAAACTAATCCTATATAATTTCATTTCGGTAAAGTGATCCCCCAAATAAGCATCACCTAAAAATAAAAGCGTTTAGAAAATACTTAGAAAATAATTAGAGAGGGGATTTAAAATCATTTTTCACAAAACATTCACAAACAATTAGTTTCACAAACAGTCAATTTAGGAACATCATAATTTTTCGGCAATGACCAGACTTGAATATATTCCGGGCCATAGTTCCCTTTTCTATTTTATTGTCTATCAATAACAGCAAACAGAGATTAAAAGCATACAATAACATACATTGAAGATTAAAAGCACTAAGAATGAAATTACATCAATCTACTATTATGTTACAAACAAGAAGATAGAAAGTAGCAGGTAAAGAGAAAGAAAGGAAGAGATGTTCGTTGTTTTATATTTCGATTTATCTGTATGATTTTGAAGCCATTAAATGTTGTTTAGAGTTATGGAGATTTCTTTCACTTATTCATCTAAGCGACTGTTTGTAGATATTTACTAATACGAAACGAAATGCTAGCTGCACAAGTCTAGTTTAGGAAGAGTTTTTTAGGAGGTTAACTGAAAGAAGAAAGCACCCTGGTGTTTGCAACAAAGAACCGAGTTTTGCTAATCACGGACAGATTTACCGGGGGCTTGGCTCATTAATTTTCAAGTCAAAATTGCAGTGATTTTATAAGAAGGAGTTTCAAATGTTCATATTGTCATATCTCAGTAAGGTTATCCAGATGTTGCTGTTTTTTTTCAAATTTAGAAGTATTCATAAAGATTGCTCACATTTTGCATAGCCAAAATTTGATATACTTTGAGAATTGATATTGTGACGTCATTACTCAGACATTCTAGCCTCTCTACCAGTCCCTGACGGTAACTACGAGACCATCGTCCAGCGGTGTTCCTGGGTAGATAGGAATATGTCATAATTTGCCCTGATTCGTAACATTGAATAGATCTTTTCTTTTGAAAGACCAGTTCTTATCATACCAGTGGATAAAATGTAGTGATTTCTTTTTTATTATTAGCCTGTTGAACAGATGTGGGAAAAGTACAGAGGCGAAGAACAGGTAAAAGCTTTTTTCTATTAGCTATTTAAGAAAAATGTTTTTTATTTGTGAAAACCTGTTGATAGGATAACCAAAGTGAATATACATGGATTTTGTAAGCATTTGTGCGCTTTTATCGTAACTGACAAAGGGATTTGTTTCGCTTTTATCGTAACAAAGGAGGTTTATTTCGTATGATGTAACTGACAACCGAATTGTTCCTCCGCAGCTACTACGAATGAACAATGAAAGATTTACCGTCCCGGAGCTGCTTTTCAAACCATCTGATATCGGTAAGTCATTCATATTGAATGTGAAGAAATCTGAAAATCGATGTTTTCATCTGGAAAAAGTTACCGTAACCTTAATTTCCGTGCACAGCTTTGACACAAGTCGTAATGATGAAATTCCTATTTGATGAGAAAACTAACCATGTAAGAAGACCCTTATGCAAGTAATTTTCACCAGGTTCGTGGAAAATTGCCCCCTCCCCCGTTCAGTATAACAAAAGATGCCTTAACACCTACATGCTCTACCCAACAAGGTGTTCACAGGGCATTGTTAATTAGCGCAGGCTATAAATTCTACTCAGTTATGTTCCGTATACTCCGTTCCAATACGGCATCCAACAAACTTTAACAGATCGGTAAACAGTACTCTTCATTAGTCAGCGAATTGCTCTATAAAAAACTCACTACAGAAGGATACAGTGTAAGAAAGTCAATAAATGAAACCAACTAATTGTATATCACCCATTTCAAACCAAGAAATACTCTACAATTCTGAGACTGGTTTAATACAAAATAAAATGTATTTAAAATACTTTTTTCTACATTTTTCTTTTGTTTTGAATCGAGCTTGGATCGATTTTAATCAATCACCATTTCAAAACAGGACATAATATGCAATTCCCGGATTGATTTGATACCAAATAACTTGTTTTTAAAACATCTGCATTTTTCTTTGCTTTTAAATAATGCATGCAAAGATTGCTATATTAAGATGGTTATTATATTACGATCTATCCAATCAACTGCAATTGGAAGATTCATAGAAAACTACAGACCCCCTAAGCGCAAATCGTCATAGTAGCCAAGTATGTCTAATGGCTTGAGGTAACAGGGCGTATGTTATTCTTATCACGAGTTCTACGTTCCCAAAAAAACACGAGTTGGAAGACTAAGCATACTATTTAAGTATATTTTGAATTGTCACAATGAAAAAGAAGGAAGGCTTTTCGTGTATACACACTGTTGAACGTTTTTCGCCCATTTTGAATCAACCTCCTTTCATCCTGAATCAGTTGCCCTGCACCTCCTGTTCATGTACCTTAGTACCAAAGCAAATGAATATCCTGTTCTTGTGATCAAAGCAACAAGGAGAGACGAGGCGAGAGTAGCTGGAACAGTAGCTGAAATCGCGAACAGAGTCCAGCGAAGAGCGATGGAAGTCGATTCTGCATACCTACTTGGTTGTTCAACCTCGATGAGATAGTGTGCGAAAAATATATTTATTGCATTAACAAAGATCAGTAATGCAAGCGAGGCTGACTCTGCAAGATTGACAATGCGGTGACGAAATGGCCCAATCGCTTGGTGAATCAACAAATTCACCAGAAAGAACAGAATTGTGACATACTGTCGAATAAGTTCGTTGTGTATGAAAACATTGAATACAACAATGGTTAGCCTGCGGAGGAGAAGTACTCCTTCCCAGTAGACTGGCCCTGATTTATCCTTTCGTAGGTATGGTTTGGCTAATACATCAATGATTGCGTTGCGTATTGCGCAAATTTCTCCGAAACGGCTCTTGATCTCATCTATGTTAATATTTTCCTTTTCGGTGCCAGCTATTACTGGATTATCCTCATCCGATCTACCTGACTCGGAATCATCCATCTCCACGCCGTCTTCACTGTTGTGGTCCTTGTTGACTTGGACCACAATGCTATCTTCCACATCAGAAGTCCCAGCAGGCTCGTACCCAGATCTTTCTTCGGACGGGCTTCTATTTCGAGCAATTTCTAGTCGATTCCTCATCCAGGTGACCAAACCTCTTAATTTTCTCCAAAAAACAATGACCAGAATCAAAGGAGGAAGAATCAAATTAAGCATGAAGACTCTTATACTGATGGTTTTCTTCAACACGCGCGTTGTTTCAAAACAAAGGACAAGAATTACTGGCAGAACGCAAAAAATGAAGTAAGCCATCATTATATACTGCCATATCTGATAGCAGTCAACTTCGCCATCGATGTACAAAACTTTCTTGTTTGACAAATCAATACAATGCACCACGGCCAAGGAGCTATTTGCTAGTGATACAATGTTGAGCAGTATAAGCATAATGCTTGCACGACACAGTCTTGCAAGGAATCGTTCATCTTTGCTTTTGTTTAGAATCTTCAATTTTATCATTTGGAAAGCGTAAATCACCAGCAGTATCACAAACACAAAAATGTTGAAAGATGTTTTGAAAAGTTGTTTTGTGACTGGGGTTAGGCCCTTCATCGGGCACCCGTAACTGAGATGACGACTTGGCTGCAAACTCAAAATATCGATTATAATATTTCTGATTCTTTCTGAAACATAATCTATTTCGTTCAATCCTTGGATTTGAACAAGCCATTGTAACTGGTAAAAGTAAAGCACCACTCCGAATAGTGAGGGCACGCAAGAATCGTTGTCTACGCCCATCTTGTTGACAGCCTTATCATGATGTTTCCTTGCATGTGTTTTATATGGAAACAGAAATTTCTGGACATAACGTAGTATCTCTGGCATGAACAAGAAAAAACAACAATACACTATAGCCAATATCAGAATAATAAAAATAACCCACCATTGACTGCATAGCTCATTTTTGGTACATTTATTGTCAACGAGGTTCTCTGAATACCCATGTGAACATCTGCCACAGAGCTTTCCAATTCGCACCGAGGCACACGTGTTTAGCTTTTCACAGTGTTTCTTATTGCAACAATATCCGCTTGGACACTGCAGTGTTCGAATTTCTCCAAGGTAAGTATATCCCCAGAAATCTTTGTTAATGCTGACCGTAGTTTGACAGGTAGCACCAAACGGGCACCTTTCACAGTTTGGGTTAGTTACTACTGAAATCTCGCCGTTGACTGCTTCGCGACCTTCAGCGAGAGAATAGGTGCCTATTTGGCACGGATCACAATAGTATGCGAGTATGTAATATCTGTTGCTAGTTGCGTAGCTGGCCACTCTTGTAGTCCTTATCTTATGTCCAGACGGACAAATGAAGGTTACATTGGTAGCCTCAATCTCATTGTCGAAAGCATTGCTCTTAAACCAAAGATAGGACTGCGCTCCACTTGAATTGCTTGGATGAAATGACGTATTAACTAGCTTGGCATTACCTTGCATGTACAATAGTTTGCCAATTACATCTTTGTGCTCGGCAGTCTTTCCTGAACTTAAGAACCTGCTACTTATGACTGTAATATTTGAACTTGATGCTATTGAGCCACCAATAATCGTGGCCACATTATCGATAAATTCACAATTCTTAAAGACAGCATTCCCAAAGGCTTGGTATATGGCCCCTCCAGCTCCTGTCAATGCTGGAAAAAAGAGAACAGGAAGTCGGCCAGTTTTATCATTTGCCAATACTTGGTTGCCTGCAAACTGGCAGGATTCGAATGTCACCTGATTTTTATCGCCACGCACATGTAGATGAACCGCTCCACTTACTTGCTGTGCTCTGTTATTTATGAAATATACTTTATTGAGATTAACATCAAATGTTGCATTAGACACTTTGCTGTTATCATACCACAACGAAATCCCGGCACCAACATTAGCCTCGTTCTCGATGAAGCGGCAGTTACTCAATGTAATTTTGGCGGTGAAATTGTCAGTATCTTCAGTCTTTGTCAGTCGCACCCCTGAGCCAGTATCAAGCACACCATGGAGACCGCGTGCACGATTTTTCTCAAACGTCGAATTGGAAATGTGAATGTTGGATTCGTGTGGGAGCTCCTGTATTATTAAACCGAACATGTTCCATTTGAAAAGCGAGTCGTTCACCGTTATTGATAAATATGCGGGCCATGGCAATTCAGAAAAAAAGTCGGGCTCTTTTATATTAACTCCTTGACTGTTTATTTTATTTCCTAAGAATTTTGTGTTTGAAATCGAAATACGAAGATATGAATATTTGCTTACGAGTATTCCATGCCCGCAGTTAGTAAAAGTACAGTTTGTGATCTCAAGGGCGGACATCTTGTTAGACGTTTTGCTAGCAGATATTTCAAACGTACTAAATGGAACAATTTCTGTAAATTTACAGCCAGTAGCTTTGACAGTTGCACCTATGATGATGATCAAACCAGATGAAGAATTTCGCATTTCCATGTTTTCAATTGTGAAGTGCACATGTGATTTGTTTTTACTCTCGACGTAGAAAAGCATACTCATAAATATATTGTGGCAGTCAATAACAGGCCTACCTTGAACCCCTCTTACTGTCAAGTTCTTCTCAATTCGATGACCATAATAATCATTAAGGCAAAAATTAACTGGCTTTATTCTGTTCCTCTCATCACGAAAGGCTACTATTTCGATGACGTCATTCCACTGTGCCTCTAAAATGGCGGCCTTTAAAGATTTGCACGGGTTGCTTGCTGTCCCGCAGTTTCTTGTGTCATTGCCTTTTTGGTTTACTTGTATGACTTTGCCTTTCGAAGCTGAAAGATAATGACGTCTTCTACAATTAAATGCCATTGTGATGCTCTTCTTTTCAAAATGATTACGCGCAGTTCAAGAACACTTAGCGTTCTTACGATCGCGGACCGTGAGCAAGGCCAAATAAAACAATAAGATAGATTTATATCGAACTTCCAAGCCCCACACTGTTTCCTTTTTATGTACGAAGAGTGAGTACATATTATTTCCTCAGAAATGTTTTTCTCCTCAGAGCTGAGCACTCTGTTCTCTGGACTCATTATTTATTATTTATTATTTATTATTAATTATCTATTATTTACTATTATATTATATTGTATTATATTATATTATATTATATTATATTATATTATATTATATTATAGTTTAATTTTATTATATTATAATATTATGTTTTGTAGTATTATATTTCCTTGACAGATTTTTCCTTCACCAGGCTGACGTCAAGACATGATTTCTTTTTTTCCTTTGTATTTCCCCCCTGTACTGTCGAGACTGGTGATTCGGGGAGACCTTTGACGTCAAGTCGATTTGAAGGGTCTTAATTATTAGGCTTTTTTTTACTGGAAGACCTTTGATCCACGGATTATCTTATTTTTTGTTTCTGTTGTTAATTTATCGGAAATTTCCATCAGTTTCAGAGCTCCTAGTGTAGTCTTTTTGTCATCGTTTTCTCGTAGCCTTTTCCAAGAGAAATTAGCTGCGGGGGCAAACCTTTGTTTATTTTAAGTGGGTTGCTATAGCATCTTTTTTAAAACAATGGAAAGTCATTAGGGCTGCGGTGGCGATTGCCCCAAGGCCCTGGGTTTCCCATCTTTTCCGCCAATGCCATGCCTATCTCCGCATGTCGACACAGTCTGCTAGGATTGCTAACTTGGTTTTGATACACCAATAACAAAAAATATACTAAAATGCGTGCGGTAATATTTTTGATAGTTATTTAAATTTACCAATAACAATAGCCAGCATACATTCATTTAGAATTTAGGATCGCTCCACTGAATCTTTGCAAGCCATTTTCTGATCGCTTGCGTCATGCACGGATTTCTATCTTGGTTTTAATACACCATAACAATAGCCAGCATACATCCATTTAGAAAACTGACTTGAACTCATCCTTACATTTTTTTCTGTTTTTTTTGGTTTGGAAATGAAGTATGTCTGGTAGTGTTTGTATTGCCGGGTTTGTTTTCGAAAGGAAATAGGCAATAGTAACGCAGGCCAGATTTGTGAAACGAATCTAAGACAAAATGAACAACAGAGTTACCTTTCAAATGAGCCACGATTAGCAATGCTATGTATATCAGCAACATTTTGAACAGGACCAGTGTTTTCTCCAAAGATCAAACGAAGAATGTCATCTCTCGAAGTATGATCAAACGTCGTTTAGCTGTCTTCCGGAAAAGGAGATTCTCACTAGTGAAATAGGCCGTTGCCTCTGTGTTTCCAGACAGCCTAGAAATTGAGTCCGTTGCAACCGCACCCGGTGCTAATTTCTGTTAACGCCAAGTTGTAAAGAAAGTTGAGGTTGTTATGAATCAGTAAAGTTTCCGTGCAAAAAACCCGCAGTTTTTTTAAAAATGGCGGACAAAAAGGTATGACGTCACAATAGAAATGAAAAAAGAAATAATTGCAGTACAAAGTTTTTTTTACTTTTTTCTGAAAGAAAACAAGATATTAGTATAGAAACATGATATTTTCAGAAAGATTTAACAAATTGCAACAAATCTAAAGGCGATTTAAAGAGATCAATTAAAGGAATAATGACGTCACAATAGAAATGAAAAAAGAAATAATTGCAGTACAAAGTTTTTTTTTACTTTTTCTGAAAGGAAACAAGATACTAGTACAGAAACATGATATTTTCAGAAAGATTTAACAAATTGCAACAAATCTAAAGGCGATTTAAAGAGATCAATTAAAGGTATAATGACGTCACAACAGAAATGAAAAAAGAAATAATTGCAGTACAAAGCTCTCTTTTTTTTTCAGAAATAATACAAGATATTGGCGTAGGATATTTTCTAAAAGATTTATCAAATTTCAAGGCGATTTATAAAATGCAATTTATTAATGACTGACATAAAGCCATTATCCCAGATTAAAGCCATGGCACCATTATAGAAAAAAAAAGTGAACTTATAGCAGTGAATATTCTTGGCTTTTGGCACCCTTGGTGCGTAACAAACGTCAATTCATTGTTTTTAGATTTTGTTTGTTGTTACGTTCTAATTCTGAATAATGAAAACAAGCTCCAAATCTACATCCATATTGTTCCGAATCAACGCGGAAATCTACACAAGCTTTAGATGTACTATCAGTTTTTTGCGGTTTATCGTTTTGCTTTGGCGTTTGTTCGCTTTTTTAAAGCTTGTTTTTCTATTAATACTAGAGAAATATATAGGAAAAAGTATATACATCGTTACTCGAATAAATCTGAATCGCTAATGTCGCTGTCACTGTCAGTCTGTTCATCTTCGTCCAGATCGTCCAGCTGTGGGCAAAGGTTTGAGCAATCAATGCATTGACAAAGCTCACTGCATTTGTTTGTTGCTTTTTTGCACGTACACCTCATATTTTCACAGCGCCCAATTTTGCACTTGCAGAAGCAATTCTTTAATATCATATCAGGGGCGCATCTGTTTTCCATCCAATGTACCCCAAGCGAACCATCATCCAGCGACAGCCAACCGTGATTCAAAGGAGATGGTAGGTTAAGGACAGCTTGTGATGTACATCTCTGCCAAATTGCTGCTTGGTAATTTGCTCGCTGTATGTGTTTTCTCAAGCAGTCCTCGTTTGGTGGCAGCACTTCATCGGCGAACTTGCCAAGTTTAAAAAGCTTGTATCGAGCAGTGTTGACGCTCCTTTCTTTAACACCATATAAACTGCATGTATATCTTGACACTTCCACAAACAGATCGTCATCCACCTTGAAATCTTTACCAAGCTGACTAAACGCTTGTACAGCCTGACCGTCCTCCTTCATCAATTTCCAGGACCGCACTTTACCCTTTCCGTAAAACGAGCTTGTGGAATCGCAACCTATTTTGAATTAAATCGTTTCAATAATGAAATAGAATATTGATTCAATATCATAATATTTGAAATTACAATTCAAATTACAAATGACATTGAATATTGCTAATAGTTAGTTCCCTTTGTATTAGCTGTATTAGAAGCATAGCATAAAGGTATCACTTTAAAAAACAAAGTAATATTCTCATATTTCTCATGCTACGGCAGTTTGAAGTAGCAATTAAGTTTCACTAAACTAACGCTGCTAAAGGTAAGAATTATGAGCAGGTTTTGGTTGCTAAAAAGAAACAATTACCCGTAAAAGCATGGAAGCCAAGCAAAGCTGAAGATAAATCGGTTCCAATGCCAAGAGAGACTGCACTGGCAGACACAATTCTATTTCTTTCTTTGGCACCTGTCTCAAATAGCAGATTACCAGTTATTTCATTGGCCTTTGCAACACACAGAACAAAGACGTCTGTGTCTGGACTTTTTATTATAACGTCACTATGATTCTGAGATGCATGCTTTGCATGAAGTAGTAGCCTGGTGTCTGCCTCCTCGTGGTCTGAAAATAACTCAGGCACCTCCTCTACCAGTAACATTGGTGTATCAGCTCTACTGTAAACATGATGGCAAAACTCTTCATGGCACAGAAAGAAGTCCAAGCTGCCAAACATGCATGGAGGATATGATGTCCAGGTTTCAAAAAGGAAATTGGCCAAAGATTCCTTGTTTTGACCATGTTTCAAGAATTTTGACCATTGCGCGGGAAGTTTTTGATCAGCAGCAATAACACGAATGATTGTCACACCCTCGCTTGCTCTTCTGGATCTTTCTAGGTCTTTTATGCTGTTCTGTGGATAACGGTCAATAACAAAATCCACACGATGCGAACAATGATGAGCAGCCAACGCTTTTACTGTGATGAAGATTTGCTCTGCAAAGGCACCGAAAGTGGAAGGCAAATTTCTTGCAGTTTGGATAATGGCCATGCCGTCAACGACTAGCGCGTTGCCTGAGGGTATAGATTCAACGATTACGTCTGTTACTTGATCCTCCAGTACAGTCATTAGCTTACTTTTTTGTGTTTTGACGAGGGCTCCGGTTCCTGTTGCGATTGAAAGTGGAAGTGGGTTTAATGAGAATGACAAGACCTCTTCCATGTTTACGTCCCGGCTTTTTGCCAGCAAGAGCATTCTGGCAAACAAATTTCGATTGCTTGTCAACGCAACTTCATGTCCATTTGTGGTTCTAACTTTTGACGTCTTTTGCATCGACGTAAACGTTTTTAGTTTCGACATCTTAATCGGCGAAAAAATGTCAGGGTCATCAACAAGCAGGCGATTTGATATAAAATCCATCAAACAACCTTCACCTATATCTGGAGCACGACGCAAATCGTCTAAAGTGGTTGCATTTGCTACTATACCACTGGATAAATGAAGAAGCTCTGTCCTTCCAAATTCAAATGGATTGATCATATTTTTCAAAGTTGACTCGATACTTTTGACATCTTTCTCATTTCGTGTCTTTTGCGGCTGGTCTAAATCTTTTCTGTTCCTGCAATGTATGAAAATGACTTTAGTCTGATAAAAAGTTCCGATTTGAATTGCCTTGAGCAAGAGATGTCTTTAATGGCAAGATGGAGTGCATTATTTTGCATCATGTTCATAATTGGGTAAAGAAAAATGGAAAGGGAAACGTTTGTTTATTACCAGCTAGCTGGGGATTTCTTGCGGTTAAGTTATATTGAACTCGATAGACATCAAAGTTTTACAACTTTTAAATTTAACCGGTTAAGGTGAAACGAAATCTCAAGTTTTAATTACCTTTTAGATTGCCCTATACCAGCCATTTCGGCACATTTGCGGGAGATTGCTGATCGTTCTGACTGAGCAAGTAGCCACCTATGCAATGCACCACGATTCTGTGTTATCCCGATGATCCCTAAGACAACAAATTAAACACAATCATGCTAGGTAGAATTTAAACAACCAGAACCAGCAATCCTTCAACAAATTGATAATTTGAAACAAATTTTAGAAAGAAGATGATATGAGAATATATTATTATCGATTCATATAAACAGACTAGTAGCACTTTCAACTGAAGCAATTTGAAGTTAACTCTTTTGGTTTCAAATGCCCATTCACAGGTTTAAGATGAAGTAATATATACCTCCTTTAGTCTTTGAATCTCTGTTTAGGGTTTGCTCAATGGTCATGTCACATGCCACTGACGAGAATCCGTATCTTTCCTGTCTTTGGACTGTCCAGTTTTTTGAAATCTCGTCATTTAAACCTGTTAAACAAAACCCAATATGAAAACATGGATAATAATGTTAAATCTTCTTTGTCGATAAATTCCAGTTTTCATTGGCAGTTAACCATTCAGTCTATACGTTTAGAGATTAAATCAATGGATTTAGGGAACATGTGTTAGCAACCTTCCTCTAACAACCTTGAAGTAGAAAGGAACTGAATTTAAACATGATAAATCCATGACGAAACAAGAATAAAAATTAGCTGTAGCACAGAAGCGGCTCATTTTCCCCCAACTGATTATTTCAATTTCATAAATTTTAGCAGACATGCATACCAGGGTGTGTTTGTGGCAAGCTTATCATCTCTAGCCAATACGCAGTACCATATCTAGAGTAATTTGTGTGATCATAAGCAAAGAACCATTTGAGCATGGACCGCAGTGTGGAAAGGTGTAAGTTCCAATTGCCTTCACGTGTTGCCCTGAAATATTCAAATGGCAGTTGTCATTGAAATATTCAAATGGCAGTTGTCATAACAACTGTCAAAATAGCATGCATGTTAAAAGGTTAATAGCTGCTTGTGCCTTCCAGTTTGATTGCTCAAAGATAACAGCAAATTGACAATATAAAAACAATAATAAAAAAGAAAATCATTCAAATAAGCTGGTTTTGCCAGTTGGGAATGATGCAAATGAAATGGAGGGAAAGGTTGCAATGCAAAATAATAAACCAAACCATAAAATATACCTTAAAAATCGAAGCAGCAAGTCTGTTAGCTCAATGTAGCTACTCCAAAAAGCAAAGGTTGGGTTATTTTCAGCCTCGTGTGAAACGAAAGACTTGTATTGATCCATGATGGATTCAAGCTCTTTTCCAAAAATATCTTGGTCAAACTCTGTATCTGGGAAGTGTCCTCTGATCCTCTGACCAAACAGCTTAATCTCTTCTGCATTTGCTCCAAGAGATTCTAAGAATGCACTGAAACGTAACCTGTGTAGAGCATCATTGAAAATTTTATGGCAATAGATGCTACGATTGTAGTGTTTTCCACTCATGACTCCCTTTACAGATCCTTGTCCAATCACATTTGACTCTATCAAAATATCCTTGAAAAGAGATTAAAGGAATCATAAAATGTGCTTATAAAATTTTAGCTTCAAAATATCTTCCTATTCACTTTAGGAGCTTAGCAACATCAGCACCATATTCATTAAAATTTTCTTTATATAAGAGCACTACATACAATATTTTTTATTGTAAATAGCTACAAATGAAAGCAAATTTTTTAAAAAGAAAAACTTACAAAAAAAATTTTCAAGCATGCATAAAACCTAATAAATATCATAATAGTCTAAACTTAAAAACTGCAACTTTTATATGAAAATAAATTGTAAAACAATTGAAAAAAGCATTACCTGTAAACCTGCATCTCTGAATCGCTTTGCAACTACACCGCAAAATGACATAACAGTATGAAAGTCTCCCAATCTTATAACAAACCGCTCCTTAAAAGAATTATTCTTCCACCTGATTTGTTGGACTTTGGAATAGATTGCTTGATCAAACACAAGAACAAGGTATTTAACTGCAAGCTCATTGGCTATCTTTAAGCTCTGTGATAGAATGGCAAATATTGTTGGGAATGCAGTGGGAGCAGAATCAATAATTGGCAGATATCCTATATGGGAAACACTTGGAACAACTGGTCCATTTAAAAGCATGTTGAAGCCTGTCCAGCCTGGTAGAAGTTCTTGACTAGGGTTTTGTGTAAATTTCATCAGGATGTAGGCAAAGTCAATTTTTCCTGCATAAAATTGATGGTGATTGTGATCACTTTCCTTAAGCAAAAGCAATCCAGCATCAACAAAATCTGGTGACTTTCTTTTTCCCAGATTATATGGTGGAATATTCACAGGTGGTGCCTCCACAGACCTTTTCCCTTTTTTACAAAATGAAGATGGCTCTTGTTCATGAAAGGAGCTCTCTTTCTGAATTATGATTCCGGCAGTGATGTGGGTCTGATTCTTTGCTTCTTCTTGGAAATCATCATTATCATAGACAAGAGTTGTGAAAGTCTCTTTAGCAAAGCCCTTAGGAACTAGACAGTCTGCTTTCATTGCAAGCCTAGCTAGGTCAGATTCATAGGTAAGAGTGGCCCCAATGCTACATGAATGGCCAAAGCCATTTAGTAATTTTAGCATCTCTGTGGACCGTGTTAGCTGTCTTACGGCCATTGAGAGGGATAGCGACTTTGGGGTTTGCACTTTACCTTTTGATGCAACAAATATAATATCTTGGCAGAGGCTTTTAACTTTGACATCAAGCTCTTCAGAGAGTGATACACAGCTGGAGGTACATGGCTCATCAGAAAACCCAACAGTCCATGCAATAAAATTATACAGTAATGAAGGCATGATCTTAGAAACATTATCTGAAGTTATGTCAGATGCAGTTGGTGGCCAGTTTGAACAAAATCTTTTTGGTGCTTCTCTAATTGCCTTTCTTAGCTCCATGGAAACCATGTAGATATCTTTTAAATGAACAGATTGCCAATGGGCTCCACTTTTGCTGTCGCGATAGTCTAACTCACTTTCATCAGAGTCAAAATCTGATTCTGGCTCCATTTCCTGGGATAGCTCTTCAAGAAAAACAAATTGGCTTTGATTTCTTAGGTGTGGCTTATGGAAGACAAGCTGTGGGAACGTCTTTTGCAATCTCTTCTTGAGACTGAAGGGACGATAATTTGATGCATCCATAGATTCTACTTCATTTACTGTTTTCAGAAACAAACTATGAAGTTTAGACATCCTTAGAATCTTCTTTCCCTTAAGCAACTTCTCTTCAATTACAGACTTGCAAAAATTGTCATAGCTCTTGGCATAGAGAGGATCTTGTGCATCAGCCTTCTCAAATCGTGTTAGTGGTCTGCAATATTCAAGGTGACAATGTCGATGGTACCGGACTTCAATGGCCACACAGTCCTTGTCTCTTATAAGGAGGAGAATATTCTCATCCTTCTTTGCCTCAGCTGTTTTGCGCAGTAACCCTCCATCAACTGTCTCAGCAAGCACTAATTTTGCTAGAGTTCTTTTTCCAGATCGCTGTGAAACACATAAAGGAAGATTTTAATAAATGAAAAAAATTAACCCAAAATGTACAGAGCAAAATACTTTATTTCAAAATGTACAAAATCTGTTGCTCTATATAAAAATTTGTTGCCATATATTTTGTTCTGTTGCACCAAAAGGCGCTTAAACTGTACAAGGTGCATGGAACTTGGTAGGTCTGATAATAGCTATGCAGATTCTCTTTTGAGGTATGATTTTTTTCAAAATAGATATGATCCTTGGTCAAGAAGAGGAAGGCTGTTCTATATGCATTGCTTACCTTATCCATTTTGTAGACATCTTTTTTCTTGCATATGATGCAAATTTCTGGCAATATATGGACATTACGAGCTGCCTCTGACCCTGACGAAGACGGGATTGATGATCGCAAAAGATGGTGGCTTGGAGTTTGAGGCTTAAGTCCCTTCTCTTCTGCTACCACCAGCTGTGTCTCTCTGGCTTTTAACTTACGTTTTTCTGCTCTGCTAACATGCTCTTTGTTACAGAAAATACTGTAGCAGTTTCGATGGTACCATAGACCAAGTATTTTGAGCTCATCTTCGTTGAGGTTATTGAGAGTTGGATGTTTATCCAACACTTCCAATGCTACCTTTTGCTCTTTTCCATCTAAGTTTTTCCAGATATGACAGTAGTCAAAAACTTTGGTTGCCGATTGCACAGTCAAGCTTGTTTCCCTGCCCTTCTTACCCGCGAAATGAATAAAACAGTGACCATCGAGACCAGTTGGCCAGGGAGGCTCTTTCTCCTGAAGGGCAGCCATATTTGTTTTGCAACGCTACCATGGAAATTTGTTTAGTCGCGACCCGTATTATATAATTTGCGGACTACCGCTTGCTATACCTTTTCTAATGTTTTCTGGTCCGTAAAATGGAACAACAGAACCACGATTTTGATTTTAGAACCCGAATTGCAAAAAAACTGCGGGGTTTCCAGTTTGGAAACAAATAAATCTAGAATCAGCACATAAAAAAGCATAGTTTCCACCAAACAGATTTTAGCACCAACATTTTTTGCAACGGGATGACAAGATACAGGCGCAGAGGCAACGGCCTAAAAGGGAAGACCCTAAGTTCGAAGAGGAGATCTTTGCATCACAAAAGGGTAGCCTGTGTCGCATAGAAATCGAGTTCGACCTGGGTGATTTTGGTTTGAAAATTCGAGCTCGGAAGGTCAAGATATAGCCAATCTTCGCCTGTTTGTAATTACATCATCAGCTTTCGTTTTCATATTCTACAAATCTGTTGTTTGAGATTTTCCTGATTGGATTTCGTTGACCTTTGTTGCTTCTTTGATTGATAGGAGAGCTATATGAGTCAGGCGGGGAGGGTCTGTAGTCGAGGGAGTTCAGGGTGTGGGGTTTGGGGTGTAGTTATTTGGATGTTTGAGTCGGGGCGGGGGAGGGGGTATTTCGGGGGAAAATGCTACCTTCTAATGGAGAACAGTGGCAGATAATATCTTGTGTTAACTGGAGACCATTTCATGTAATTCTTACTGAGTTTGCTTCGTTTTGTTTCGCGGAAAGTATTGTTGAAAAACCCGCGAATTCGCTGCGAAATTCGCCTCGTGGAAATCAGCCTTTAGATAATATTTTCTTTTCTTTGCCGCCTTTTTAGATTCCCATTTTTGGCATTATGCAGAAATTGAGATTTTTTATTTTTCCATCCAATCCATGAGACAATAGGTCAGGTTTCACACAACCCTCCATTTTGAGCTAAACAATGAAACATTATTTAACAAAAAGAGTGTATTGATAACTTTTAAAGAAAGTCAGTTTTGATGGGTTTTAATATCCTAGTTAGTAGTGCGTCAGCAAAACTGCATTCTTAGGGTTTTCTCGATCTGGACATTACAACGTTGCCCTTCTTTTGATAGGATGTTTCCTTCCTTTTTATTTCCTGGAATTCAAGATAATTTTTCTTTCTAGGAATTCATGAGATGGGACTTTCAGAGGCTGTCCTCGAATCAGTTGCTTCAACATCTTTAGGTACGTAAGTACAGTATTTGCACATTGGATCCAAAATGAAACCAGGGGTGTAAAACTGGAGGCTTAGGGGAGCTGCCGAAAATAACCCCTTTTCTACTTTTTGCTTTTGGTTATTTGAAAATCTGGCCCTGTTAAATCATCTTTCCTAATTATATCGCTTTGTAAATTGAATAGATTATAAACCTATGTGCAAAAAAAAATTCATTTAGCGCTATGTAGTGAAATTTCAAGATTGTTGAACCACAACTTTTTTAAATTTGATTGAAAGACTATACTAAAAGGGGCTATTTGGTACTGCTTCGACGCTCATACTGTGCCACGGTAAAGAGAAAGCCACGAACGGTTCGCATTCAAGGTGCTTTTGGACCATTTTTGTTGTTTCTGAGCCCAAGTAGGGAAATGTCAGATATTCTAACGGATAGATTGCTGGGGCACTGTGGTACATAATTGTTCAAAGATTTGTAGGCCATAGTTGATGTTTCTTTCAAAATCTATTCCCTGATAGACAACCAATCAAGTGCTTTGTGTATCGGCCTAAATCTGGCCCTCCAGCTGTACAATTTATGCAGTTTCTATTGTAGCAATGCTTAATCACGTGTTTGATTTAGTATAATGAAGCCAAAATTGAAAAATAGTGTTTTGTTCGCAATTGATTAAGCCCTTTTCTATGTTGTTTATTTAGCTGAGCTAATTCAACTGCTAGTGTTTCTGTTTCGCAACCAGTATCCCGGGCTGTAAAAATCGAGATCAACCGTCACTAGAAACCTTTCGCTTTCTGACACGTGACAAATACCAGGCATTTCATCATCACCTGCATAAAAATGTCGAATACGTAGGAACGTTAGGAAATCCAGAAAAATTTAAAAATAAACAATCCGGGTCAGCTAAATGTCAACTTAAATGTAAGGATTTTACAATAATACTTTAGTCATTTTGGTTTAAGTATTTGTTTTATTTGGGCTGGAAACTTTTGCAGATGTTGTGCAAGAAAATTTGTGCTCTTGTTCTAGAAACGCTGTAGTTTTATGACTTCCGAATTTCTCATGCAATGGTAAATCCTTATCATTTTGTCTCATGGTCACTCCCTGAGTGTTACCTTTGGAAATTCAACCTTTTGACTTTTTTTTATACCTAAAATCCTGTATTTTCTTGTATACAGACGATTCTGAGATTGTGGTCCTCTCCTCAAGGTTTTGCCTTGTGAAAGACTTAATTCTAAAATTTGAAATCGGTGAGCCGGAGTAGCACTAAATACTCCAGTATCAAGGAATATGGTCTTTTAATCCAAAGATATAGAACTAAAATATAGATATATGATTTAATATGCTACCCCAGCATTTCTCAAAGTAAACGTGCTCAAATGTGTTACCAACCCCGATTTAGAATGTAATATCAATTCAAGGTTTTTTTCGTTATTTCAGCAATGCATCCACATTTCTACTTGAATGTTATACTAACTGGTGGCAACGTTGCCATACCAGGTTTTGTCGACCGAATGTAAGTCAATTTTGGTGCTTCTTCAATTTGAAAATATTGTTGAGAATAAGGATTTTATTGACAGTAAACTATAACTTTAACAGCTCTGGGGTTTTTTGGAGTTAAAATTATATGAAAAGACTACAGAGGTAGAGGGTCATGGATTGTATTTTTGTTGACAAATTCCTATTTGTAGACAATTTTTTCTAACTTTAACTCCCGTTAGACAGTTTTACAAGCCAACTTACTTCATTTCAGTATTTTTGCTTCAGCCATTAGCCATGCAATGTTCTTTAATGAATCTATCCTGCATTTGAAATCTCTATCTTATAGAGGTACAGAAAAAGCACATTGCAAAAATCAAGTTTTTTATTTTGTATATGTAATGCATGAGTAGAATGGTTGTACGGTAATATTTGTTTGGATTTTTTGGATTTGTTTGGATTGCATGTTCTATTCCTGTACCCCTATCTTGATTTTAGCTGCCCAGGATCGGCAAGCTATGCTTTCTCTAGTCGAATTAAATGCATGTTTAGTTGTATCTTCAGGTTGCATTTATGAAAAAGTCGACTTCAATTAAAAAGTCGACTCAGGTCAATTCAATAACTTGCTTATCGCATAGTCATCGTCAACTATACTTTTCAGACAGAGAGCACTACGTACAGGGCATTGTGAAGAACGCGATCTTTCTTAGCAGGGTCTCCAACGCAAGTTTGAAAGTAGGGGGGGGGGGTAAATTAAAGGCCAGCCACAAGAGATTTTTTAAAATGCGCCTTGTTTTGCAAAAAGATCGAGCGGCATGGCCCATCGGGCCCCTTGTCATCGGAGGCCTTGTTAAAGGAGGGGTTTTGACTGAACCCCCTCAATCTTTCAACATATCATAGACTTGACAGCAATATAATTTCTTTCTAATGAAGCTCAGGTGTTATTAAAGGTTAACAGTAAAAGCCCCAATTTTTTTGTTTATTATGATATGGTTATGGTCGGACTGATATATGATTGACCATGCCCTTCAGGGACCCCAGCTATTAGTTTTGAGAAATATACCCGCGGTTAGTTCCAAAGAGCGTTCCTGCCCAAACGTCTATGTGCACAACTTTTTATGAACTGTTTTCTAATTCTTTTTTATAAGATTTTTACGAGATTTATTTTTAGGCTTTGATCAGTATATTTTCTGTTTTAGAAAAAGTGATGTTCGCAGTATGGCCCCTATCGATTTTGATGTCGAAGTGAAAGCTCCGAAGAAGTAAGTTATTAAGACTTTTTGTATGTTCAAAATTGTCTCTAATACGTGGGAGTCACCTATTTTGCAGAATTTTTAAAAAATTTCAAATATAAGTAACAAACTTTATGGAAATTTGGCCAGTGTGTAGCGTTATACGATTGAAGACAAGGATCTTTGAAGAATGCCCGTTCGCAATGTCAACTTGGTTGATATCTTTGATGTTTTGGTCCATTTTCCATCGAGAATTGGGAACTAAGCTCCCTTAATCGACCCCTTATTGTTTTTTTCGGTAGCCCGATCACCTACGCTTGGGAAGGCGGGGCAGAAATTTCCAAATCACCTGGATTCGTTGAGAAGTTCTGCGTGACAAAAAGCGAGTATGAAGAACACGGCCGATCCATCTGTAGCGAGAAATTTGATGGTTTCTAGATGGAAGAAGAAATTGAGGTTTGTTATGCTGACTTTAATTAATATAGACTCGCATTTTTAAATTAACCTAGACTCGAGCACATACGTATTCTGGTGGCAATTGTGTGTGCTTTCTTGATTATCTCACAGCAATCAACGAGCTCGAATTGTAAATGTCCTGTATTGTAAATCGTCTGAGTGAAAACTGAAATGGGTCGAAAAAGAATTAAGAACATCTCAACGTGCCATTAGAATAGTAGAAACGATATGTATATAGAAACCTATTTGTGTTTCTGGTATTTAGCCAGGGGTGCAGTTTGGGTTGAATTTTTGGGAACTGAAAGCAATATTTTCCTAAAAATTCTGACAAGGTAGTCATTAAAAGTAGCACACAAAGATGAATTAGAAGAAGAAAGGTGGCCCTCTGTAAAAGCTCTATTGATCACGGAAACAGAACGTATCTGCGTACGCTGTCATGAACGCAGTCATGAACGCAAGCATTAACGCAGTTATGGACGCAGTCTTTTTCTTCAGAACCGTAGGAAAGTTAACAAAGTTATGAAACAACGATATTTTTCATGAAGGTATAGTCGCCAACTCTTGATGCTTTTTTGAGCTCAGATAAAAACACTATCTCGAATGCATTTACTCAAACCATATCGTTGATTAAAAGCATCAGTTCTCTCTGCAATTTGGTTATAACGGGTAACCGGCTCCTCGACACAGTCTAGGGCCAAGTTATTGACGCTGTCGCCAACCGAGTCGAAAACACGATCCACAGCGCAATCGCGTGATTTTTAACGCTGGGATAAATTTTTTTCTCGTTTTATCCTGGTTATTGCATAAAAGAAATTTTTATTTTAGTAAAAGTTGCAGGCTGTCCTACGCAGTCGTTAGCCGAGTTATCGACGCAGACGTAAACGCAACCACAATCATTTAATTCCACCGCGTATTGATTGCTTCATTCTCACTGTAATCGCATTAGCACACAATGAGGTTTTCACCTTAATAAAAACCCAGCTTACTGCGTGCCACTACATAATTCATGACAAGAACTAATTTATAATGTTCACAACATTTGGGTCGCTTTAGGTATTATTCCTTCACACAAACAAAGCCATATTGGGTTATACTCTTTAAGTACAAAAGATTGTTGTGTTGAAGAAAGATGTCGTTAAAACCCTTGATTTTTAGTTGTGATACGAAAACGAATTAAGCGATTTAAAGCATTAACAACAAACTTTCACGGTAAGCCACGAGGCTGAAGCCTTCTTACGTAAGCGTCGAATGTAAAGTCATGAAGTATTTGCACTTGAGACCCAGTTATACCTCAGGCGCCTATAAAGCATCAATCCGTTGCAAATGATTTTTCTGTTGAAAAATTTCAGACAATATGGTACCATCTAGGCCAGTTCACATTCGACTGTTTCTGCAAGATCAAATAGAGGAAAAATCAATTAGCTTTTAGTCCTTGATACTACAGCACTGCAAGACGGAGTTGTTTGCAAAAGATCTAGCCAATGAGTTGTTTGCCAAAGCGGACAGAATTTTCATTAAGACAAATGTTTACACCCTATAATGTAGAGAAGATTCAGGCTTTTGAAACAGAATCAAATTTCCTTTTACCACTGTTTAACATAGAGCGAGGAGAAAATCAATTTCAAAACGAACACAACTGGCCTATAGTTGATGCTCACAGTTAGCACTTTTAAGGAGAGCCAATTTAATGCCAAAAAACCAACTGATGTCGAAATAAGCCAGTAGGAAATATCTATTTTCATATTTTTTTGAGAACGTTTCTATGGTTAAATTTGATAACATTTTATCAGAATATTATTATTATCATTACTATTTTTGATCACAAGATACAGTCCCCGTTAAGTCCTTCACGAGAGCAAACTACTGTAGAACAACTATCCTCAGGTTTCGAGAACCCTTCAAAATGTTCTTGCCGTTCCTAGCAGCGCCGTTTTCTGTGTCATATCCGTCCTGATCTTGATTCTAATTTTCTCTGTGTATTGGTCTGCTTCTTTTGTTACACATCCTAATGCACCAACCAAAATTGGGATGGCACTTACTTTTGGAAACCAACGTTATCTTGAAATTTTGTCTTTTTAAGTTCTTAATATTTCCCGATTTTCTCTTGTTTCTTCTGCTTTATCCTCGTATCTTCTGACACGGCTATGTAAATGGCCAAGCACTCTTTTTTCTTATTTCAACTTAACGAAAATTTCTGCTCGCCTATGCTCTATTTCGTAATCAATATGTTGATGTTTCACAGTACTTTAATAATTCCTATTTCTGTAACACCTTCTTGCTTACAATTGTACCATTCGGCCTTGGGTTTCATATTTTCTTGATTCTGGTAAAAAGTCTCTTGTAATTTTGCAACTGTTCTAATTCTTTCTACTTTTTAAATGAATTGCTTTTAATAAAAAGTGGCAGGCCCCTCGCTATAGGGGGGTTTGTGGGGTGTGGAAACCTCTTGAAAAAATCCCATTAAAAAAACCTAGGGGTGCTTAGCCAGCCAATTTTCAAACCTGTCGGCAAATAATTGATGGCTCATCCACTTTATCGGCAAATGGGACTTGGAAACCCCAATTGAGCACAATAGCTAGTGACGTGCCTGAAAAGAGGGATATTATATTGTCTACAAGAGTTCTAACCTGTGACGTCATCAGTTCAATATTTTTTAACTTTTTGCGCACACAGTGTGAAAGATCACTATTAAACACGTTAAAAATGCAAAATCAGTTAGATCTGTAGCTTTACTTAGGTATAGCAAGTGTTGCAAATGTTTTGCAAATGTTGGATTACTGCCTCTTTTTTGCCTGGTTTATAGATTAGAGAACCAAGACTAAATTACAGATATTTGGTATGGGAAGTTTCTATGCTTATGTGGACATTTCTCATACAATGCTGTCGAAGGCTTCGATTTATAAATATTGAAAATATATGTTTAACTCAATTAAAAACCCAAGCTGTGATGTAAAACACGTGCGATAGACACAACGTTCCGCCTCCAAACACATTTTCGTAGCAATATTAATAAAAAAATTGTTTTTAATTGCCAAACGTCGTCATATCAATGCGTTACCAAAACGTTCTTGCTGAAAACAATGATAAGGTTTCCCGGACTCATGGAAACGTTTATTGTGCCAGGGGTCTGGGCAGGCTAAAAATAGAAACCCAATAAAGATCTGTTATGAGAATTTTTTGTTAAATTCCTTTTAAATAAAGTAAAAAAAACAAAAAAAATCATGAGGTGTAGCATTTGTTTGGCAAATGGTGATTCTATGTGAAATTTTTTTTCAGTGAATTGAGTTAATCTAAAATCCAGAGTCCTTACACCCAAGCTAAATCGTTTTTTGGGATTTAAAGAAATTCATCGTAGAACTGATATGAGAATCAACTACAATTTTCTAGATACCGTCAAATTACCTCAATTTTTTTTAAGTGGGCTGACCCCGCCCTTGCTTTATCAAGGCCCACAGAAGTAGGTAAATATGTTTGCTTCAATCTCCAACACCCCCCCCCCCCATCCCCATCCAATGTGGCAAAAATTTTATTGAAGCATCCAATACATTATGTTTGCCTTAGCGATTAAAAGATTTTCAATCTTTACCCCCTTCCACCTCCATTCGCAACTTGCTATGTTGTTTGTGTTTACCCCTACGCGGGCTTTTACGTCATCCCAAAAGAAGATAGAATCAGCCCCAGACCCCTTGATATAGAAAATCGTCCCATTGGATATTCATGAGTGTTTGTAAATATACCAGCAAATGCATCCATGATCGAATTTTCTCAAGAAAACATTGTTGACGGGTGGCTCTCGTCATTAGTGACACCGTGCTTGCATTGGTTAGTGATGCTGAAAATGTTGTCATTTACGCTAAGTCGATAAATTGAAATGTTCGCTTGCAAATTAGAAATTTACAAACCAAAGACCTGTTACAGGATTATAAGTATCTGTAAGTGACTAAGAAGCTACACGACATGTTTTGAGCCAGACGGAAATTGGAAACCATTTATAAAGTTCACTGGCCAAATCACATTTCAAAGCAAGTCAACATAATTCGTCGACTCTTTATTTTGAGCAATTTGCTTTGGCATATCCAAACTGAACATTGAAGATATCAGCTGCTTAGATTCTGTTTGACTTTCAAATCGATTCAGCGATGGATGACTAAGGTACGCAATCCTTTATGTACTTTAATCTTGCATCCCATTCTCTTACTACTGTTGCAATCGTTGTCTGATTCTAAATAGACTACAAACTGAAAAAAGCTACAAGTCTTCTAGTTTTTAGTCGCTGCAAAAAATAAAAAGACATTAAAACTCTTGTAGATTGACTTCATAAAAGTCTTTCTTTCTCTTCTCTTTTGGTTGAAATTCACTTGAACATAGAATCAATATCTTTGTAAGAAAAATGCTGAGGGTTTATTGTAAAATATGATATCAAGTCACATTTGTTTACCATTCAAAAGTAGATATTAGAGTGTTTTGGTTTTTGTGTTTGTATCACCAACCTGAGCAAATACATTTTTATAGTACGAGTGATGTTTTTAATTCAAAGGAAGCACGTGGTCGTCGAAGGAAAACGATTATTACATAGAAGGAGACTTGCCCCCTTTTTGCCGATGTAATTTTTCATGCAATGTCAATTCTATTCAATATGTTTAACGATAAAGTTCTCTTCTTTGTTGACTGTTTTCGTTTTCGTTTCCCTCGATTCGAACTAACTGAATCCCAATCGTAGATCCTAGTCAACCCGAAAAATAACCAGAAAAATAACAGTGTAAAAATATGAAGCAAAATAGTCAATTTGGAAGAATTCATGTACAGGGTATTATTGAATGATGCGTTATTCTGACAATTTTCTCGGCCTAATCACCAATTCTTTTTGCCAATGCATAGTCAACATAACCTGCTATAAAATGTATACATTGCTCAAAAACGGATCACTAATGTACGGAGTAAGCCTGGCTGAAAGTCTTCTTCTCATCATTGTTTAAACAAACATACCTGGTAGAAAAAGTAATAAGTGTTTATATTTTGCGTTTCAATTTTAGAATATTGATAAGAAATTTGGATATTGTTTCGGTAGAACAGCAATTTAACTATGGCTGCAAATAACGCGTGTGTCAGTGATCTTTTTTCGTGCAATACTGTCAATGAAGCAAGCGCGTTTTACTGTCTTGTCGTGCATCGCCGATCGTGTATTCCAAGGTCTTTTCATTGTGCTGAAATACTATTTGTCAGATTATGTCATACAGACTAAAAATAAAGTATGTATTAATTGAGGCAATCCTAAGAATGTATTTTACCTAGCTACGTTCCTATGTTCGCTTTTCACTCAGCTTTGTACTTAGACGTCGATATGGGATTTCTGTATTTCTAGGAAACTGCAGGTATCTGCTATGGATCTTTTGATTAAAAAGCCTTGTAAACAGGCGGAAACATATGTTTTTAATGAAAAATCGATTAGATGTCATGCAAAACTTATCTGTTATTCGCAAATCAAATCAGTAAAGCGCAGGATTCACACGCGAGTCGGGTGAACACTCAATGCAGATTTCGTTCTTCCATTGAACAATCAATAAGGTATTCAAATCTTATAAACTAAATACAGGATATTTTCTGTCCTAATTATAACTCAAAATAAAACGTTTTGTTATGAAGAAATGAAAACGCTGTTGAATCAGGTTTTTCCAATAACAACATTAGCGACGTAATCAGCGTAGCAACAAGATCATCAACATAGTGACTACCACCTACCTATTGAAACCAATCAACTTGTAGTTGTACTATTAGGATTCCAGTCATCGCATAATTGCGGGTATATTAGAAAAATTATTTTACGCTCTTAATGGCTTCTTTTTTGGCTGCATTTCAAATTGTTTGAGTATGATGACCTTTAGGTTTAGTTCTGAATCATTAAATGATATATTCAACTTTAAACAAGATTAATTACATACTGTTTATATCCTAGAAGATGCTTAATTAGTTTACGTAAGCATCAACTAATAGCTATCTTTGCCTTTGCCGCGCGGCTTGTTTTGTTTACATTTGCGATACGCATTTACTGTGAAGAAGCTTTGCCGCGGGCTGCCGTATTTATGAATTCGCTATGCGATAGATGAAACAACATAGTTTGAAAGACCTAGCGGTTGATGGCAAGGTCATTTATCGGATGTTTTGCAGCTCGAATCATACTTTTTTTTACGTTTTAGGTTTTATGGAAACGAAGAACAAAGTTATTTCTGAAGTGAATCTGTAGCTGTTAGTCGTAGAAACTTGAATGGACTGCATTAAAGCTCTGTCAAACGACAATGGTTCGTCAGCCGTTCAGCGTATTAGCCATTTGACTAGGAACGAAATTGTGATGTTTCAAGTTTGCATTGAAAAACGCAAAACTATTTTATCCAGCAAATAAATCACGCTTAGAAATTTAATTGCAAACTGATTTCTGTCATTGGTATGCAGAAAGCCTTTACGATAGAGCCGAGTTATTTGTGACGTGGTGGATATCTACTATTAGATAACGCGGTGAGAAGTTAATTTGGAGACGATCAAATCTAACATAATTTACAAATGCTTGAATGACCCAGAATATTCGTTGTAAAAGATCCCGTAAACAGCGTACAAAAAGCATTAGAAACAGTTAAAACTGTTATCTTAAGTATGCACGATTTCCCTTGTTAAATATAAGCAAATATTATTCACCCAGTAACTATTACCAAAATAATAAGGATTTCAGGTGTATGAAATATTTATTAGAAAGACTTGTGCCATTTGATTAAATAGACACCAGAGACTCACCTCGAAGATATGACAACAAGGTTTGAATTATTTTCAGTTTGTTGAATAGAGGTCTAGTTGACTGTATTGACTCATGATGCGGGATGATTAATCATCGATTGGTCGCTGATATATTTTAGTTTGAAGGACTGGGTTAAAGCAGATCTTGTCATAGATAATCATGCAGCCACAAGGCAAATGCAACGATTGTGAACCAGAATCAATTTCCAGGGAGATCAAGGCAGACGAAAAACATGTTGATGAAGGAGCAATGGTGCTTGAAAAGTCGCTAGCGAGTGTAAGAAACAAAACACTGCCACCCCTGAAAAAACCTTTAAAGACATTTAAATCTGATGCTACAAGCGTGCCTCGCGACAAAACATCGCAGTCATCAAGAGGAGGGGCATTCTTTCTTGGAAATGAAGGGCCGATTACTAGCAGAAGGACGCTGCTTCGTAATTACAGCGATGATAGCGCTTGTCGCAAGGTCGGTTACGATGGCGGTTACGATGAACTCCGAAGAAATAATATCGATCGCATGCGCAATTACCACAGCTTTGACGAGCATCGTAAAAATGTCGACACACCGAACAGTCAGCTTTCCGAATTCAGTCGAAACAACCGTACGAAGGGTAATATCAACAATGGTAACCATATGAATTCAAGTCATCCTAAACTGCCGAAAAGTAGTGTTTTCGGGGTAGACCAACGTCATCAAAACTTCGACGCCTACTTGAAGCATGTATTGGATAAGAGAGAGGAGGATAAACTGTTTGATCGAAGCGGATCTAGGGGTGGGGAAGTCAGAAGGGAGAGACCTAAATCGGCTCGTTACGGGCAACGGAGGTCGCAAACAGGACTCGATGGCCATTACGGCTAACCGTCCACCGCGCAAGCTTCGATCTGGCTGCCATTTGGGGGGCTGCTGGCTACTACTTGAAGTATATCGGCTTTTACATATCCCAGCATACATGCGTACATGAAATACTCTATATCCTGAATTCAGGCTTATTCAATGTATAGATCATTTCAATTCAGTATAAACGTTAATCGACAGTTGTATATTTGGAAATCTAGACATGCTGTTGTAGACGTGTAATTATCGCACTATGCACTCACTGAAGTTAATGATATTAAATGTTAGAAAACCTAAAAATTGTCATGTTTGTACGCAAATATCTCACAGATGTGCAAGTGTATTTTTTTAACCGAGAGTTGTGTAGAAACTGAAAAACCCGTCATTATGTGAAAAGCATCTGAATTCATGCAAAGACCGCAGAGACGTGATGGGGCTAAGGGGCTTAGCACATGTACATTTAGCCCCGAAGTATCCTTTGAGCCATATAATGAACAGACTTTCATTTGGCTTTAGGCTGAGCCCCCAAAACTATAAGTCCTCTTCCCAAATTCGTCTTATACTTTGCAGTTCCTGATCTCCTGAATTCGCAGTGAGGGCTAACATTGCCTGTCATAATCCATTTTAGACTCAATAAGTGTTCTTTGCTTGAGTAGTTTTCATTTCCCTCACCCCTGCCCTATAAGATGGCGATAATTCAGGTACATATATGTCACCTAGAAAAATATGGCTCTACACACCATTCCTCACTTTACCCAAACATTGTTTAAAACATACGCTACTCGAATGTTGCTCCAATACTTTGGACAATGATTGTAGATGCTTCCTAATATTTCTGCACTTTTTCGATAGAATCAAATCATATTTTACACAGTCCAATTGCTGGCAATCAAATAATTGATCTTGCGAAAATAGAATATGAATCCAGTCTCTAGCCTAACAGAACTGACTGAACGCCCGGACATCTAAGACAGCCTTTCACCAGCCCGGGTTTCCAGTTTGCTTTGAGCTCGTTCTAATCCGTTTATGATCGTTTCCACTAAGCTGGGTTGAAATTTACCCAGGCTTAAAATGTATCCTTGGCCCTCTACGATTCAGGTAAATCGGATTTAGAATATTATAAACTGAAATAAAAGCACGCAAAGCTGTGAGAGAAATCAGTATTTGCAAGATTTTTCAGAGGTCCAGGAGGAAAACTGAAAGAAAAAGCCCTCTTGCTTTGTTTCAATAATTCCATTCTGACAATGGAATTCATTACTCTATGAGGCCCCCTAGACCTCGAGGCCCCGGGGTAATTTGGGGATTCTTTTGGGGATCCTGTCCAGAAGCATTAAAACAACTCTGAAAGCTACCTTCTTAAGCCTGCGTCGTTTGGTATTTCTCCAGCTCCGAATTCCCAGGAATATCCTTAATTTATGCTTCTTTTTATGCAAATTTTCGTCCATAATTTTGATTCATATTTTATCTATGTAATCAAGAAAATCAACAAAACTGATTTCTCTACGATGTTCGTTGCTTCAGTGTTTAGTCTATAGAAACTAACAACTCTTACAAATCTCAGCGCGTTTCAAAGAGATGGTGAATGATTTAGGCAGCTACTGCGATTGAAGAAAAATAACTCACAGCGCTGACTTACAGCTAAAATTTAACTGTACCCAAGAAAGGAAAAGATTGAATGGTGTAACCTGTTGTTTAGAATGCATAGAGCATATTGTGTCTACGCAAAATTGAACTGATTGAATGACTGATAATACCTCTAGAAAATTACAATATGAGTACCTGGAAGAAACAATGTTCAAAATAGCTCGAAAAAGTGGAACAAAATTCACTTGAACTCTTCGTCCGACGCTTAATAATGAAGGCAAGTGAAATTATTTCCAATCGAAAGCCCGGTTTACACTACAAAAAGCTACCCGGGTTTAACCTGTGTTGAGTTCACCCAGGGTAAACTCTCTTCAATTTGTATTCTTAACGGAAAGTGGGTCTAAACTTGGTTTCCAAACGAAATTGTGAGTCAGCCCGGATTGAGTCAACTGCCAACTCTGATTCTTTCTTGAATAATTTTGAAAGGTTTTCTGCCGAACGTTACGTCTCTTTTCACTTACATTTTTTACCTCCCCTTCCTTTCTCTTCCTGCTTTCTCCCATTGTTTCTACTGATTGCCTTCTCATTTCTTCAGCTTTTTTCATTTCTGCTGTTTGTTTTTCTTTAACTTGCTGGGATGCTGCTTGCTGATCAGCATTTGCTGCATCAATAAGCTCCCTTATCTTGCAAGGAGAACATGTTTTTCTGTGTGCTTAGGATAAATTCCACTTGCACTTTCTTCTCTTCTATTTTTGGACTTTTTGTTGGTGAAAATATTCTGGAAGCGATCTCTCACTGCTCTGCAGGATGCACCTAATTTTGGCCATTCTACCTGCGAAAAATTATCCGGTTTTTCTCCACCCATCGCTTCTCGGCCCACCAGGACACCGCGAAATTTCCCGGTACGCCCTTGCTTTAAGTTATATTTTTCAAAAAACTTGAAAACTTTGGAAAGGCATTTATAAATATTCGCACAAAACTAAAATTGATTACAACCATCAATTGACCTCTCGAAAGAACGTTTGCATAAAAAGTTCGCCGTGGTTATGGTTTCGGCGTCATAGATTAACAGTTAGTTTAGCTTCACCATTAAATTGAGAAAAACTATATCAATGATGTATCAAATTTCCACCAGGTTTTCCGAAATCTTCAAAAACGCCCAAGACTTGTGATTAACCAAGACTTATGACTAACGCAAATTAGTTTCTTCACTTATGACTAATGCGAATTATTTCAAGTGCCTGATATCCAATAGCTGAGAGGGTTCTCACTTTTGAAACATTAACTGAGTACAATATTCGCTCTAATTAACGGACACTCTAAAAGGCAGACACCTCTGATTAGCGGACAAATTTTTTTCCCCGATAAATTTTTGCACAAAATAGTCATTTTGGCTTTTTTTTCCTTTCCAATTAGCGGACAGTACTAAAATTTTTGAAGCCAGGGAACAAAAAAATAAGACCAATGAATATTTGTTCAGATATTTGTTTCAAACACTTTGACACGACAATCTAGTTGGCTTTTTACAGCTTCGAGCTTCTTTACAGCCCAGTTTACTAACTTTTTTGTCCACGAATATATGAATATGTTTTGTCCACCCAGAGGTGGCGCCAGAAATCTTCCGACGGAGGGGTTGGAGCTTCCGACAGGGGGGCTAAAATGACTAAAAAAAGCAGTTTTCGTACTTTATTTTGTCAATATTGCTCCGACATTAACCAAAGCTTTCTCCGATTTGAGTGGCTAGGTGCTTCCGACGGTGGGGCTGTAGGCCCCCTAGCCCTCCCCTGGCGCCACTAATGATTGTACCTTTTAAATACAAAACTAGGGTCTATTTTCAACTTTGGGACTTATATTGCAAAACTTTCCAAAAGGCGGACACTTCCAATTAGCGGACACCTTGCTCTGGCCCCGACGGTGTCCGCAAATTGGAGAGAATACTGTACTACCCTATGTTCTTTCCATTCAGAATGGTTGTATCTCGATAAGATTGTCGATGTGTTGGCAGTTGGGTATGGGAACGTTCACATATTACCTAATCAAAGATGGAGTGAGGGGTTTCACACAAATTTTTAAGGTCATAATGATCAATAAATGATGCAAATTAAATGATAATTCAGGGGGAAGAGGATTTTTCCAATATTGCCTATTTTTTGTTATGTAATTTGTGCATATTCCTTTCTTGAATGATAGTGCTCTTTCCGGGCCCTATTTTAGTGTGCAGTATTACACACTTTGTTCAATTTTAATTTAAAAACGTACAGTATTGATTTCGAAAATGTGAAGTATTGAGTTTTGGGATTTGTGAAAATGTCTATTTGCGGCTAGGTGAAAATGTCTATCCCAGATTCCTGTTTGTTAACAAAATGTGAATTTTCCTCGTCAGTTCGATATAGAGGTCATGTATTGTAATTCTCGTATGACCATCGGAAAGACTCATCTTATCAAAACTCAAAACAAAGCGAAATGCCCAGAGCCAGAAACAAAACATCTACTTGTAAATGTCAGGATTGCTGTAAATTTCGTAATTTGATCTTGTCGAAGATAAAACGTTCAGTAATAATTTATCAGTTGCCCTATCATGCTCTGCGCATCTAGCAGAAGCTCACTTAACTTAACTAAAAGAAAGATAAAGAACCTAATAAAACTTTTAAGTTGTACTGTCCAGACAAAACATGAGATAGCAACTCCGTTTAAAAAAGATAAATGACTATGTTTCTATTCAGGTTTTGTAGCTACTTTTTGTTTTGTTGCTATTTTGAAATGTTATTGTTGATTGTGTATACTATCGTCTGTCTGTTTGTGATTTCTGCGTCATGGCCTGTACACGTGTTCAAAATTCGGGCCATTTCCTCGCTACACTTGCATGGCTAAGATACCTGGGGTTTGCAGGGGTTTGCACTGTGTGCAACAACAAAAATTCCTATAAAAAATATGATTATAAATGTGCAGTATTGAAAATTTTTTAAAAATGTGCAGTATTGAAAATTTCTTGAAATAGGCCCTGGCTCTTTCCTTGGATCATCAAATATCCCTTAATAATTAAGTCTGCTCTAGGAGTGATAAAGGATGAAATTTTTTAAACGTCCTGTGACAGGCTATTTAATTTTGCATTTCAACTAAGAACCCAAAGGCATTTTGATTTTGTATTTGAAGCGCTAAAACTCCTGCATTTTGTACTAAAAAGAAATTTTGTCCAACTTTATTCAAAAGTCGTGTCTAGTGACAAACGGGGCTTTTTATCCCCTGACTAATGACCAGCCGTACACCCCCCCTCCCTTCTCCTTGTTTGAAACTCGGCAGAAACAACTCAAATCTGGAATTCTACAGAAAGAGCCTGGAAAATATGAAACTCCTACAAGTATTAATGGAAGATTAAGCTGCATGTTTTGAAAATAACTTGGTAAAGTATTCCAATCTTTCCTCAAACTTAAATAATTTTCGTTACTGAATGATATCTGTGTTTTTTCTTAAGATATTCTTTGTCCTTTTTACGATGTCTTTCTCATACAGAAGGAGCCCATCAATCTGCAAAATTATCAATTTGCACAAACGGGTGGCATGAGGATCCCTTAGAACCCATTATTTCAAATGATGTTGTCAGATATCTTTCTGAAAAGTCAATAGTTTTATATGCACATGTTCAATGCCTGACCATAATTACGCATAATTTTACGGGCATCATACTAGGCTAGTAGGAGCTAAGGCCCCTCTTTATTTTTTCAAAGAAACGCTTTTAAACTTTCAAAAATTCATAAATTACCGTTTGCTGAGAATGAAGTGATTATTTTGCAAAATTTCAGAAGATTGCGTGTTTAATCAAAAATAATCTCGTCTCCTACGCTGGAAAGAGAAATTGCTTTCTCTGTAAAATCTTAGAAGATAGTGTCGCGCTAACTGGAAAATGGCTTTAGACTTTGGGCTTTAGTCTAACTTTCAAAATCTACAAACCACTTTACATCTTTTGACACCTAAATATTTTGCCACCCTTTCAGAGTTTCAAATACAGTCAATTTGACTGAGAATCTACTTCCCAAAGCAAATTGTGAAATATTAAAATATATTTCAGGGGACAAGCCCCCGTTTTGCTTGCAATAACATTCCCCATT